AGAGACCTGGGGTATTGGTCGAATAAATCCAGAGAGAGATCCAACAATTCTGAAAATATTTTCGGGTACTACTAGTAGTACTAAAGTCTAAGGGCCTAATACTGAAGGAACGACTGTCTTCATTCTATCAGGGTCTGACTACGGGCGCGGAGGACCAGGTACTAGGGGACTATATCGAAGATCCTGGTTGATTTTTGTCCTCTTATCCATAAGCCCTTTCTCCCTCGGTCTCGGTACGCATTTTCTTCGCCGAAGACCTGGAGGAGCTGACTTCGGTATAGGTTGTTGTAACCGTGGGACCTGTGTGGGCCCTTTGTCGTTTTAAACTCGTCGTCAGCAGCGGCTCTCCGGGTTTCAGGATATTGATTTGCTGAATTTCGACCTGGTAGGAATCAAAATGATCTTTCTTTAGGAAGTGGTGTTTAAGTCAAAAGTGGATTTCACAGGTACCTTTGCTAGTTTCTGCCCTTCGGATAAAACAACGAGGCAAGACTGTAGACCTTTCAAACACCACTGCCTTTCAAGCCAGGTGAGAAGATGGCGACTCCAGAAAGATTGAAATGTACGGTGGAGCATATCGTCCTGAGGATTCGGAGCTAGCGAGAGATGGAAGGCCCAGTTTTGACTGGCATACTTGAGAGCGTCAGGAGCTGAATGACTTCGTTCCCATGCTTGATTTCCAAATTCCACAAAGGCGATCATAGCATTGATGATCTCCATGTCTGTCGGTAAACGATCTTGTAGCAATGCAGAGGTGTAATGATCCTGGTTCTTTAACGCCAGAAAGGCTGGAAACATCAAGAAATCCGGCAAGCTCTTGAACTGCTGAACCACTGGAAGAGCCGGCGATAAAGACGATGCTGGGATGTTTATGTACAGGCTGATTGCTTCCAATGTGCTCGTGAATTCCTCCATTGTCACCCAGACAGATGCAGCAGGAGTCGTCTGCCATGCTTTACCATGTGGCGTCTGCAGCCACTTTCGGCCGCTCTCCGTCTGCAGCCATTCTCGCCCGCCTGCGGTCTGCAGCCATTCTCGCCCACCTGCGGTCCGCAGCCATTGTTGGCCGACCGAAGCCTGTAACCATTCTCTCCCGTCCTGTTTCTGTAGCCACTCTCGCCCGCCCGGTGTCTGTAGCCACTCTTGCCCACTCGTGGTCTGTAGCCACTCTCGCCCAGTCTGGATCTGAAGCCACTCTCGCCCGTCGGCAATCTGCAGCCACGCACGCCCGGTCGGGGTCCGGAGCCACTTACGCCCGCCCTCGGTCTGGAGCCTCTCTTGTACGCTCTCAGTCTGCACGCAGCCTTGTTCTTCCTGTGTCTGCAGCTCGGTCTGCACGCAGGCCTTTCCCCCCTGGGTCCCCAGCCAGTCTTTCCCCCCCTGGGTCCCTAGCCATTCCTTCCCGTCCGGGGCCTGCCAGCCAGTCCTTCGCTGGCTGGGTCTGCAGCCAGGCACACCCATCCAGGGTCCCTAGCCAGCATTGTCGGTCTGAAGAACTGCGATCTTTCCGAAGCCATAGCAGACAAAAAAGAGCTTTCAGTGGCTCCAGTGGCTGTACAACGAACACTAATGATTGTTTGAAGTTCCTAGGGTCGTAGTGAGTCATAGCATGGCTCTGCATCTCCAGTGCTGAGAGTGCACTAAGGAGGGTCTGGCTTTCTGGAATATCTGAAATCTCCGGAATCTCTCGCGTCATCAAGTAGAGAGAGGAAAGTGCGAGAAGGGAGTGCGGTGAAATGGGTTGTACTTCAGGGAGGCGGCAGTTTGATGGGTCGAAAACATAGTCACGAACGGACGAGTGACAGATGTTTACGGGGAGGTTACGGTCTGTAGGAATATCCACGAAAGACCGTAACTGCATCAGCGTTGTCTCGAAATCCTTGCCCTCGCCAAGGCCAAGAAGGTTCGAGATTTGTGACATCGGCAGAGGGTCTGCAAGAGCAGCAACAATGGACAAGTGCTGGTATGCCCGCTTGGGGTCGGTACATGTGGAGAGAATACGGTCGTATAGAGTGTATACCTCCGTTCCTGGTAGCAGTGTATTCGTGAGCTGGAGAACGAGTTGAAATCGATCCCGAGGATCATTGTATCCGTCATCGATGTATTTCATCATCGTAGATGCTACAATGAAACGTCTACCCGCTCGACTGGTCAGCTGCTGAAATTGCTTTGGCGATGGTGACGGGGAATCGGGTTGTTGCTGTCGCAGCTCCCTGAAGGAATAATGGAAGAAAAGAGAAATGTCATCATCAACATCTGCATCGTCTAACGAGATGATGGTGACCTCGCCAGACGATTCCCCTGTAACCAGGCGATTCTGTTCTTTCTGAATGACTTTCCGGATATGCTCTTCCCAGCGACTCGTGAGCAGAATGTGGGTCAAAGGCAGATCGGGATCACGAAGAGCTTCGCCAAGCAGGGAGATGAGAGCAGCGATAGTTTCGGGCGTGCACTCATCGAGGGCATCGACAACAAACACCAAAGGCGGAGCCTCGAGCAGTCTGGATTTAAGCTTCCGGAGTGGTCGAAGAAACAACGCCTCCATCTGGTCGCGAAGAGACTTGTTGGGGTCTAGAATCACAGGATCTTCGTGGATAGCTTGTGTTACGTGCTTCCGAATGCTGGGAAAATTTCTGGCAAGGCGGTAGGCAAGCGTCGCAAAGAAGCGCTCAGTTGTGCCGCAATTTTTGTGGTTGCGCGAGAAAAAGAATGTTCCAGCGAGCCGTTTTTCGATATTCGTATCCTCTCTCACTTTCTGACATCTCATCGTTTCAGCTACAGTGAACGCAACAGCAGATTTTCCAATGCCTGCCGTGCCATGTAGCCAAATGAGTCGATTCTTCTCTCGGTTGTTTAACAATCCGTAGATGTGGTCTAAAACGACCACTCGAGTCCCTTCCAAACATTCCGGAGGGGGAAAGCGTCCGGGAGAGTCATATTCAGCACCACTGACGACGATCTGGGACAGCTCCTTCCAAGTTCTATCAGATGATCCAGTCACTGCTAATGAGGTCAGAGAGCGAAAGGATAATAACGTTAGACCCAATTACTCATCGACAGAGATTGACCGTGACGATAAGCGACGCAGATTGTGAAATGGAATGGAACTCGGTGTAGTACTAGCTGGCGGTAGTGCTATTAGACATTATAGGTAGTTATATCGAGGTATAACATACGAGTATCAATCGAAAGATCCAATTAAGAGTAAGCTGTAACTTGAATCCTTGGGGTCGTGAAACGGTGCTTCGGCGTCAGGTTGTATTTCCAACGGTAGGCAGCGAGAGGAGCGGGCCGTGAAGTGATGGAGAGCGCACGGTGTAAAACTTCTTGAGACTGAGGAACGGATGGATGTCCAGTGTATTGGAAAGCTCGGTGGAGGTGAAGATTCGGTTGCAGAGTATGGGCGCTCATCAATTCGCTGTAGACATGGTGCCGTAGCGCTCAAGCGCACGGCCCATCGGTAAAGCCGATCGTGCCCACCGAGTACCTATACAACCAGACCCGACTCACCTGAGACGATAACATTAGGGCGGTTGAACAGTCGATATTTTTTTTAGTTAAGCACAGACCAAATGACATTGACAAGAGAGCAATTCAAATATGTAAGTTCTCCCTTGCAAGCTCTATATAGAACCAAAGAAAATAGAATGTTATGTTATAAATATTGAACATAAATAACATTGATCTTGTACTGCTGACCTCACGATGAACTGGCACCGTCAACTCGTCCAATACGGTGACCTAGAACAATCCCAACAAACCAATGGAGCCGGCGGCTCATCATCAGCTACCCAGTCACGTCAACCACCTCTATCCAAAAAACGCAAGACTCGGTCCAACCAAAAAACCAAACGTTCCAGAAAATTGGCCCACTGGGATGACCCAGGAGACAATCAGATGAACTACGACGACGCCAGTGTCCATGCTGAAGACGGTGAAATTGAAGAAGAGGAGAGTCGGGAGCTCTCACATGAAGAAATATGGGACGATTCTGCACTCATCGATGCCTGGAACTCTGCCACAGCAGAATATGAGGTATGTCCAGCAAGTGCTCTTACATTTGCTGCTCTTGACACTCTTGCAAGGCGTTCCACGGGAAAACACAAGACTGGAAGTCGAACCCTGTCAAGAAATCTCCTCTGTGCGTATCCTCATTCATGAAAAATATAATCTAATTATATTCAGATGGTACAACATCCCGTATGATAGTTCAAAGGATAAGTCCAAGGCACCTAATCCAACAAAAGGGGCCTCTGAGAACGCCGCCAGTCAGGCTGTAGTAGATGGAGAAGAAAACTCAGTACCATTTGATTTCGACACTTTCGTCCCATCTTATGATCCTTCGCTTCCGGTATCCTCTGAGGCTCCAACGGCACCCGACCCCTCGTTTTTTGTACCAGCACCTTCAACCACCATGGTAAGCCGCGACGAAGCTTTCAGCCGTGCGCTAAGTGCGATGTATTGGGGCGGATACTGGACCGCAGTATACCATGTAAGTCCTTTGCAAGCTTCCTTACTAGTTACTCATCAGCATGCTTGCAGTGCCAAAATCAGCAGAATTCCTCGCAAGAGGTTGTCGAGGAACAAGATCAGGAATACGAAGAAGGTGACGAAGAAGTTCCTGAGGATGATGATGCTGAAGATTTGGTGCCTGCTCAGCGGTGATATGTAACCAAAACGCTATCGAGGGCTGTAGCTCTCTGGTGTACCACGGAACTGAAGGTGAGGACCCAAAGCTACCAGCTCGTTCAGCTCATTCGTCTGCTACCTGAGGCTGTGGCGTATTAATGAACAATTCAAATGACATCATTGGAATGAGTGAATCTGCTACGACGTATGGGGTGTTCGAAGGGAACTAAACAAAATCGATGATGTAGAGCAACAGCATGGCTCGAATAGACTTTGGATACGTCTGAAGCTCTTGCTATGATGTTTTGACCTTGGTTCGATGGATTCCGCGGCTGGGTATGGTCCTCAGGCCGTCGACATCGAGACTGGCGAGATGCGCAGGCATGACCTCAACGTAGTCCGGTGGGCTTGTTGGCTGCCCCAAGTTCAAGTCCAATGGCAATGTAACAAATATCGACTACATACAGAACTACTCTGACCTGTGTACCGTATTTTACAAAGCGATCTCGACATCCAATCTCGCGAGATATGAGTACACATCAGGAGACATCCTGTACTTCAGTATACCAGAAAACACCATCAGCGACCTTGATTTCTTCCTGAGTGATGTCAATGTCTGAGGGGAAAATCCTGTGAGGACGCAAAGAATGATGCCAACTCTATAGTACTGACCATTTGTCTCGTGGCTTCTGCCGTAGCAGAATTTTTGATGGATTGGTGTACAGCCGCTAACGCTTCCATCGTCAGCGGCACATATACTTGCAGATTGCGTTGCAAGGCATCGTGCAGATCCTTGAACTCCTCTGCCTTCCGCGTAATCTTCGCGACATCCCCATCAAGAGGGATGAGATCCGTGGACTCCATAATCTGCAATTTGACAATAATCGTCAGTAATCGGGGGATCTGGAAGACTGGGATGAGATCACACCTCCAGCGTAATATCAAACCTCCCAGAGCTCTTTGCATTGATCGCTTCCCTGATGCGCAACAGTCTAACAGCGGCATCTCGATCCTTACCCACTGCCCGGTTGGTGCGCTCGTAATGCCTCAAAATCTCAACGGCCGTACGCTCGATGACTTTGCCCTTCTCTGTTTCACCTGCAGGCTGCGCCAGCGTGTTGCCGAGTGCCTGTGCGAGACATGAAATGACCGTGCCGTAATCCCCGGCAAGGTTGTACAGTTTGATAGCCTCGGGAATGCGGTCGTTCTCCTCGGAGTCGCGGGCGGCACGGATGAGAATTTGTTCGTTGTACTGAGCGGTGGTTTGTAGGTGGAGAAGGGTTGCGCCTTGTTCAATAACGCCGCTCTGAGGGAAATGTGAGTTGTGTCCAGGGTAAAGCCAATTGCGAGAGGGAAACATACGAATCGCGTGCCATCGGGTCTGAATCCACCGACGAGTTCTTCCCAGGCAGGACCTGAGTGAGCGAGAACGATGATGCGCCTCACGAGCTCCCAAGCGGTCTCGACGTTCTCTTTGCCGACACCGTCGCCTTGGTCCGCCGAGAGACACACGCAGTAGACATACTGAAGTGCTTCCTTTGCGTCCATCTTAACGAACTGACGCACATATCGCCAAATAAGCATCGGCAGGCTGAGTGCGGGAGGTGAGAGTGGGGAAAGGGTCACTGAAAATATAAGTGGGTTATATGTAGGTGCATTTTCTTGGATGTGTACGCACAAGGACTGATGTCAGATGTTTCAGCGCGAGACGGAACGCGCAGAAGCCCATGGTATGCAAGCGCAATGGCAAGGTGGACGGCTTCGATTTCTGTCTCTGGGTGTTCCCATAGCGCAGCTACAGCCTAGAACATGGTCAGGATAAAACTCGGGTATGTATAACGCTGCACTTACCCGCTCAAATTGGCCGCACATGAGCAGAACACCAGGCCACACACCCTTCTTCGCACCGTCGAAATGGCGCTCTCCATAGCTCAGGAGAACTTCAGTGAGCCCACGCAGGCCACCCTCTTCCTCTTCATCGACCTTCTGTGTGTCAGCTTACTTTTTCATGAGGCATACGGAAGTTCGCACCATTGCCAGCTGGAACCACAGCCAATCCTCAGTCGTCATCGTCACTTGTGGCACTGTTCTCCGCGAAGGCTCGAGTTTTCCCATGAGTTTATACAGAGCAAGCTTGAACGGATCTGCGGATGCGGAATGCAACATGTGCGCATTGTATACTGTTTGCAAGTGGTCACGATGGGGTTTGGGTAACCTGCAAGGAAAATCAAGATACCAAAAGACGTCGTCTCTTGTTGGAAAAATCATACCGTCTTTCTGGCGACTCCACCCATGAGCGGAAGTGGCTCACGAAGCTGTCTTCGCGGTGCTCGATGGCTTGCTGCGATTTCAAAGCTTCGTCTAGAGCCTCTTGTGCGTGACCGGTGCGTACAAGGTAGTACAGCTTAGCCCACAAAGGCTGACCGGCGACAAGCTGTGTGGCTTGATTGTCAAATTGAAAGTGAATACAATATGAAGTTGTCTAACCTCTATCCGATCTTCCCACTGCCCGTTTTTATAATATCTCATCAAGAGGAAGGCGCGTATTTTGTTTGCTACACTAGGATCTCCCCCAAGGCGGGCCTCCATAGGTCTCGACTGGATGGAACGTTCGATGATATCCCAAAACTGGTCCTCGAGAGCTTCTCGTGAGCCTTTGGCAATCTGAGCCCGCAGAGCTGCGGCCTCCCGAGAGTCGCTATCCCCCAGGTAGACGCGCGCGTACTTGCGCTCGAAAAGCGGGGCGTTCAAGATGTGAGCGCCTGCGTGTTCCACAGGGGGCAGAGCAGGAGGTTCGCCCGTAATCTTTGCAAGCACATGGAAGTTTTGAAGCATTTGTTGCATGGAAGGCTGTGTGCACGATTTATGAGACACTTGACATTCGATACAGTGAGAAATACGTGCCTCTGAGTTCAGGCTTGCGGTAGCTTGCATGAGGAGATGGATGATGGGACAAGATGTTCCGCGCAACCTGGCAGCATTCAATTCGCTGATTGCACGATCATATGCCATCATCTTGCTCTGCATCTGAAGAGTCAAACTAGGCCCTGTGCTTGCCTGTTCCGCTGGTCAATAGATGAATAACGCATATATGTAGTTACCTTACCGTCAGTGCAGCCCTTCCATGGAAGCTCTTTTTCATCTCAGCAAGGGCTTTGCTATCACTGGTAGCACGACCTCCCAGCTCTTCAAACACGCGTCTCTTTTTAGCCTCCCAGTCTTTGTGACTGCGCTCCTCAAGCAAACGATAGAAGTTCTCCTGAGTTTCCCTTCGACCTTCTTCTATCGTTGAAATAAGATTCTGTTCGTGAGCATGGCGAAGATAGCCTGCGACATCCGTGTCTTGGAGGGGCTGGAGGGGAGAGAAAGTCGTTGATGTGTTCAAGTGAGCAATGGAGTTGGCAAGAGCAGGTGCATCGACATGAGCCTGTGCCAAAAGGTAGTTCCTGTCATATGTAAGTTAGAACGGATGCTCGCTGCGTTTGTTGCATTGCTCACGCTCGGTCAGCATCACTGGATGCTCCAGGTTGTCGAGATACGAGCCGGCGTGACTGAGCCTCAATTTGATCTAGAGAAAGGTTGACGGAAGGGAGATCAGGCCGTGAAAGGTGCGAGTTCAGAGCTCTTGAGGAGTTCAGCAATGAAGAAAGGTCGGAGGTCATCGTTGGTGATGTCGAGCTCGTGTACTATGTTCAAGACAATTCCGGGCTAAGCTTCAAGTCTCCAAGTTCCCAATGACAGCCAAAAGATGAAAGCACCTGCTAAGTGGCCGGGGGTGATTCAGATGTCGGGAACAAAAGTTATGAAAACGCGTCACGGGACCATTTTGGAAGGTAACTGAATATTAGACCCTTGAACCCAGTTGAACCGCGGCCGCAGTACTACAGCATTAGAACGCGGCGAACATAACTTATACAGCTACTTATAACGCGTCTCTGACTTTATTCTTATTCTTCCACCATGCAGAAAAGGAGACGAACGACGACGACACGTCCAGGCAAATTCGACCCCCAAGATGCTCGTGTCAAGCACACCCGTATTGGCGTGTGGGACCTCTACGAGGATCGCCAAACTGATTCAATGCCACGCATACCAGGCTCGTCACGATTAGAGACGTATGCCCAGATAGTCCAGAGCTTTCCCCATGTAGTACGCATGTTAAAGGACATACTCAGCATCAAACGGTGTTGGCTACTACTTTCCGTATTCTTCGTAGTGGAAATATTGGCCTCACTTACACCCGCTGTTTCACTATGGTACGTCACAGATCTAGCTGTAGGCAGCTATTGTATGTGCTTATAACATCTTTGCACAGGTACTCTGGACAACTGCTCCGACTTGTAATACCCTCTTTGCTTCCATCTGCACTACCCACTTATCTCATGTCTAGGTAGAGACTGCAATAGAGACACGTACTGTGGACACAACAGTTCTCATTCATGTTGCAGTAGGACGCGTTGCATGCACAGTTGCGACGCGCCTTCTCCAATACGCCCGAAGCCGCATCGTCATCCCCTTAAACCTGTCCATCAAACAATTCTACGCTGGGCACATATTCCACTCCATGGCACGCCTTGACGTGCCCACATTTGAAAACTCGGCCGTTCAGAGGCAGCTGGAGTCCACGTGGGCGTCCCCTTGGGGCTCTAGCGTAGCTTGGGAAACCATCCAGATGTCCACGAGCATCGTAATGACAGTTATTCGTCTACTCTCCCAGGTGTCGGTTCTATTTGCAGTCCTGCGCGAGCAGCAAGATGGTCCCCTTCTTGCGATTCTCAGCCTCTCACAATCTATATTTCACTGGTACAGCACAAACAAAAGAGTGTTCGGCTCCTTAGGTAGGTCAATAGCCTGTGCTTTGAGCATTTGACTGAGCCAGAGATGTAGTTTGGGCCGCTACCACAACCAACGAAGATTATGTTCGTATGCAAGGCCTTAAGCACCTCGTCGATAACCCTTCACACCGCAAGGAGCTTGTCGCAGGCAACCTCGGCGAATATGTCACCGCACGTATGTCGACACACCTTGCCAAACAATCTCATGTTGACGCGTGCCGAGACCAGAATTTCGCGAAACCGCTCAGCGCGTCGGAGACGATGCGGGTGAGTTCCAAGAGTTGCGTCGAGCCCATGCTGTCAAGGATCGTTTGAGCATTGCGTCCATCCTCCGTGAACCAATGCGCGAACTGCCCCAGGTACTCAACACTGGCTCCGAAGTCTGCGAAGCTAACTTAATTCACCAGATCGTCTTCACCCTCCGCGCAGTGCAAAAACCAATGACCATCCCCCTCTCATTAGCATCACTCACACTGATCAATCAAACCTCTAACTCGTTCAGTTCCACCCTTTTTTCGCTGTTCGGAGAGTCATTCTCTCTTGCGGAACAGTTTGCCAATGTACGCAAGCTATACGAGATCGATAATGTGAAGAATAAGGTGGTGGATGGCGCGGAACCATTCCCCGAGAACCAGCAATCTCTCAGGACTGGTATTTCTGTCGAGTTCAGGTTGGTTATCATTCGTTGCTTTATCCAGGCGTTTCTGATGCATGTATGCCAGGAATGTATCATTTCAGTACCCTGGTGCAGAGAGGTATGCTCTCCGGAATGTTTCGTTCAAGATTGGAGCTGGTCAACTTTGTGTACGTACCACTGCTTTTACGGGGCTCTCTCTAACCGTAAGCGTAGGTTATTGTTGGCGTGAATGGCTCTGGAAAGAGTACGATCTTAAAACTTATCTCCCGCATCTACGACCCAACCGAGGGCACCATTCTTATCGATAATCGCGACATCAAAACCCTCAGACTGGCCGACCTCCGCGCCGCCATGTCAATCCTCTTCCAAGACTACACGCACTTCCCTCTCTCCGTGAGCCTAGTTCTTGCATGGCCCCAAAACAATGTCCTGACCGCATGCGCAGATAAACGAAAACATCGCACTCGGCAACCCCGCCCTTGCACACGACTATGACAAGGTCCGCGAAGCCGCCCGACTGGGCGGCGCAGAACACTTCATTGACGAGCTGCCTGACGGATTCGACACCTATCTCGACCGCCCTGTTAAAGACTACTACTCGGGCCTCCCTGAAGGCACCACGATGCTGTTTGGGCGACCCGTCGACTACTCCCGTGTGCGTGGCGCAGGGGGTCTCCGTGTTTCTGAGGCTTCAAGTCTCAGTGGCGGACAGATGCAGCGGCTTGCGGTGTATGTTTTTTTGTTTAAAAAACTGGGTGCTAGTGTTGATTGTTCGAATAGCTCTCGCACGTTCATGCGCTCATTGGTATCTGAGACAGAGTCTTTGGTTGGCATGTTGTTATTCGACGAGCCCAGTGCCTCCTTGGACCCTACGGCCGAACATGGTGTGTTACCCTGTTTTCTTGAAGTGCATACCCAACCCACACTGGTCGCGTAGATCTCTTCGAGCGTCTACGGAAGTTAAGGGGAAACAAGACCATGATATTCTCCTCGCATCGATTCGGGAGCCTCACCCGACATGCGGATCTCATATTGTGAATTTTTATCTGGTTCCACCTCGATGATGGCGCTGACATGGAGCTTACAGGTACATGGACGAATCTATTGTCCAGGAAGAAGGCACACACGATGATCTATTGAAGAGAGGGGGAGAGTATGCACGTATTTGGAATTTACAAGCAGAAGCTTTCATTTAATGACCAGAGACGAAATCACACGTTGTCCAATACCACGATTATTAATCATGGAACGACTCATTCTTGCACATGTATGCAATTGTCCAGACTCCAACCATTGGCGGTGTGTGTCAGTCCCAATACGCCAGACAATTGTTCACACAAACCAGATACGTAGAAGGGTATTTTACTGACTTCGGATGCATTATTTTTAGCGCATAAGTGTCGCGCTTGACCCGCTTCCCAGGCACTGCTGAACAATCCATGAGATCTTCTTCACTGTCCGACGGCAAGCAGAACATGGAAAACGAGACTTTGGCTGTATCCGGTGCGATACACATGCAGACCTTGAAAGTTGATGGGAAGAATGAGATAACAGTCCAGTGAGCCAAATGCATGCTGGTTCCGCGAAAGGTGGATGCAGGTTGCATGGTGTGGTGGAGTAGCACCCTGGATTGAGCAGGACGGAATACATGCAGCTTCGCAGGACTTAAGGCAATCACGGCACGGATGCTATTCGATGATGAGCCGGATCTAGGAGTTGACGAAGCTGATCAAACGTATCAGATCGTCTTTACCCCGCGCGTCGTGCAAAACAAATGACCGTCCCCCTCTCCTTGGTGTCACTCTCCCCGCCCTTCTCCGAGGTGCGTTCACCCGATCTTCGAGTAGTCTTGAAGACAACAGTCTCGGGAGCGTCGAAGCGGTTGACTGACTCAATCTGATACATGTTCGGTTCACTCTGATAACACATGGCAGATACCTATGAATCATCCTACCATATTGGAATCACGTAACGCACTGTTGCTTCCAAGCTTAAGGTGATCAAAAGCCGTACGCAGATCTTCCCTCATGGTTATGACATTTTCGAGTCGATGGATGTCACGACCATTGAGTTCTGTTGTGACCTCCAAAAACTCGGTCTATCAAAGCCCACGCGGAAGCAGCATGTTCCACTTGAATTATGGGGAGTCGAGTTTGAACGGATTCAGATTAACGACACAAAAGATGTCCAACCTCAGGCTTTTCATCCCCACGAAGGCCTTTGTTAGTCGAAGAATGAAATATGTAAGCTGCTTGTGTTATGCATGTGATAGGCCGCTCATTCCTCTCCTTTCTTTCCCCGCGTTGTTTGATGTACTTAGACTAGTGAAGGCGCAGTGATAACCATCACGGGCAAGGGCCTGATTGAAATAAGATAAAAGACCGGATGACGAAATCTGGTGCACTCACGGATTGTTTTGCCTTAGTCTGATTATCGGGGCTAGGTACAGGGGACCGATCTTTTTGAGATTTAACTGCGAATTCGAAATGTTAGGTCATGCACGGCGGTGTTAGTAACCCGTTAGATGCACTCACATAATCGGACGAAATGGTCGAAGTACAACGAGGCGGTGGCGAGAAGCGCAGCGTCAGTTTGAGCCTTGCAAATATCGATCGCGACTATGTTGCGACCAGGGGGACTTGGAGCGTAGATTAATAAGTAACCTGGGAGTCGAGCGCATACAGGCGGCGGCGGCGGTTTTGACGCGAGTATGGCAGCCTTAGATTCTAGGTCGACGCAATGCGCATCGCTCATACGCGGTAATGAGCTCCTGGCTTCGTGGAGTAATATTGTCGGAGATATCGGGGGGAAGGGGAGCAACATCCCAGTCGGGTTCTGGCGTAGCAGATAATTCTCATGAAATGGCCTCGGTTTGAAATTAGTCCGCACTAGTCTGGTTGCTAAACACATCATCAGTCAAATGAGTAAGTACATATACTCTCCGGAATGTTTTGTTCAAGATCGGAGCTGGTCAGCTTCCGTGGCACTCTCTGAACCGTGATTACAGGCCATTGTCGGTTTGAACAGCTCTGGAAGGAGCACAATCTTGAAACCCATCTCCCGCATCTGCGGACATCAAAATCCTCAGGCTCGTTGACCTGTGTTCATCCTCTTCCGAAACTACACCCACTTTCAGCTCACGTACTTAATGTACACGCAGGTACGCGAGAACATCGGACTTGACAACCCCGCGCGAGACTTTATCGATGAGCTTTCTGACGGATTCGAGACATACAGCCCCGTGAGAGACTTCACCTCGGACAACCATTCAGTGCATTGTTGCTAGCGCTGGCAGCGTGGCGGAGAATACAAGAGATTCGCGTCGGATGTTGATATTATTGCACAAGTCGACTCAAAAACATGGTGATGGACGTCGACACCCTAGAAATATTGTGACTTGGAACATTTTGAAGAACGGACAACTCAGAAAGTCGAACAAGACAATGTCTATTATTATGTAATTACTGACATCAAAGTGGAAGATAAGCTCAGAATCAATGCGGTCAATTAACACATGTGCCAGTACAGAGCTGGAAAAACGACGAACAAGAAATAAGCTTCTTTTCCGATCAGCATATAGTCCATTTGGGTCCCCAACAGCACTGATACTCTTTTTTTTCCTTAGGGCGTTGGTGCACTAGCACTCTCGGCGTGCCCGTTTGGAATTCTTCCTTGCCCTGCCTCCTCTCGAGCATCTTCTCTGAGCTTCTCCATCACCTCCTCCCACAGCGGCTTGATATAGCGCCAGGACAGGGCGTACCACCCTAAGGCATCAAAGGGAGCCGCAAGCCACCGATGGATCTTGCTCCGCTGTCTCCTGCTGTCTATGCATTCTAGGAGCCAACCTCGAGGGAACCTGGCCGGAACTGGGTACCAGAACTCCGCTGTCTCCTGTTGTCTATGTATTCTAGGAGCCAACCTCAAGGAACCTGGCCGGAAATGGGTACCAGAATGCTCCGAACCAAAAGGTGGGGAAACGTCATACCGCAGCAGACGCTCCGTGGTCCTCAGGTCGACATTGTGCTTACGGATGTCGTTGGCGATATATACCAGGTCAGGCCAACTTTCGAGGAATCCTGAGACGACAATGTATGCTTGAGCCTCAGCCTTAGTGAGCGTGGCCCACCCTTTGAGCTCGGGGCGATACATGTCGAACCGTGATGTAAGAACACCCTGGTACATCGTATAACCGTAGCGCCCCCATGCGGTGGCAAAGCCCGCTACCGTGTCCTGTTTATCGCGTTGGGCAATACATGTCGCTGCCATGTCTTTTCTATTTGTCAAAGTTAACCGGAATACAGGTGCAGTACTTACATTGTTTTCCGACCCACTCTCCTGGGCTGTTTCTGTGCTGTCTCAGTTCTGAAGATATCATCTCGAAGGCGGCAAGTAAAATCATGCAATCGATTTCACAAGGATAGTGCAGAAGCATTGTCTTCGTAACCCTCATCAATAGCATGCAAAATTCTGCACATCGTGCCCGTCTTTGTTATGCTGCTCAAAGTTTCAAGAACGTCAAGCCTAAATCGTGAGTATCACCGGAGATCCAGCTACGTCGAGGGTCACGGATTGACGATACAACCGCTGAGCAACCGAAATGTCTTATTTCCAATGCACACTGCCCTGTACAAAGAGGAGAGAGAAAATGTCAGACGAAGTGTTCCGTGTACCCGTGCATGGTACATAATCCATGGCTCGTGCACACCGAAGCCAATACATGGCGCGGTTGAATGTCAGGGGATCGACGAAAACTCGTGATATCCTGCGCCTCAGAAGGAAAGGCCTGTTTATGTAAGCTTGAACAGAAAGAGCACCGATTGTGACTTCTCCTGTACCTCTTGACGAGGAAGATGCTTGAAGAAGTTAACACTGCAAACTGCCTGGAAGAGATAACCAGGATTCAAGTTCAAGTCGTCGTTGTGTAGAAGTCCCGAAACAACAAATGCAGATTGTTCTGATTGCACAACCACCTATCAAAAAATGATAGATCATTCTCTGTCGCATAGTCAATAGTTGACTGCCTGGCACCACTGCGTGCGAGTTACAAAGCGTCACCATCTGCTATACTCACCTGCACCATGCACTGGCTTCAGATCTCAGACACTGAACACAGTGACTGCATGAGACTACATGACGCTTCAACCTTTGGTACTTTCTATCCTTTGCGCATGAACTATTTACCTTAGAGTAGGATGTATATCTACATAGATGGAGAAAACGAAAACAACAATATTGATCAGCAGCAGGATCGCCCCACGAGACAACGAGCGAAGACAGTAGCGGGCTTTGCCACTGCACAGGGGCGCTACGATTATTTGTCAGGAAGAGGGCATACAATTAATATTGAGGGGAGGCCCGTATTTGCGAACGCTGTCATTTAACGACCCAAGAACATTGTACAATACCCTGGACGATTCATCCTCACGCATGCATCACAGTTATGCAATAGTCAGGAAATACGCCATAGAAAAAATAGCAGAACGCGAAGAAAGCAAGATAAACGACGATCTAGCAGATAGTGATACAAATGGGAATCCGTGATGGCTAGTTCGATGAATTGGGAGACGTTTGCTGCTGTTGTTGTTGCTTCTGAGCCAACGACTTTGCTTTGAATGTCTCCAAGATATGATGCACACCCTCTGGTTCTAAAACCACCTTCGTCCCGTCACATCGCGCCTTCTTCGTAAACTCCGTACACAACTCATTGATATCCGCGTCCTACAAATCACACAATTCAACAAAAGTCCTCCCACCAACCAACCCGACACCCACCTTAAATTGAGGATGCGATATAATCGTCTGCCACGCTTTCTGAACTTCGATGTTTGCCGAACTCTCCTTTGTCTTCGGGAAGGTCGAGCCCTTGCAAGAGATTATATTGCCTCCTTGAGAAGAATCGCTCATCTTGCGCACCACGGGCTGTGTAAACGGCGAACTCGTGAACGGCGAGTCACCTGATGCAGCTATATGCTTCGCGATGTCCTCCCTCGTCGGACAGGGCAGCATATCACCTCCGGGATTGACATTAGATGCCGATTCGGAGGCCGAAGGTGGACTTTCGGCGTCTTGTCGGGACATCGTCCAAAATGGGCTTTGTCCGTTTGATGTGCTCGCTGACGATGGTGAGGATAAGGGATTTGCGGAGAGGGGGGAAGCCACGGAGTTTTGTGAGGATATACTACTGGGTGGTGACTGTGCGGTCCCGTTTGCGTGCGTTACGGGACTTAGCGTAGGTGCGGGCGGGCTTTTCATCAGTACGTTGAAGTCGACGGGTGCTTGGCCGTTCATGAACGTCTCGCCGAAAAGCTCGTCTAGGCTGTGGTTTTGCATATAGTCGGAATGACCTGCAGATTGCGAGAATTCTGCCGTAGATTGGCCATTTCTTGTGCTATTCCAGGAATTCGAAGGTGAAGGGTAATTGAACGGGAATTGATTCAAACCGTTAGCATTGATATTATTGGGGTTGTCAGTGTCGGTGGTAGTATTGAACGACATGGAATCGGGCGTATCGGCAAACGACATGAAGAATGTATTAGTGGCGAGAGTCTTGTACTGGTTGGGAGCTGGTAATGCATATGGGCCATATGGTGAGGTCGATGGATCGACTTGCATAGAACCTGAAGGGATTTCATCTATTACCCTAAGCAATGAGGGATCAAATGTTGTTAATGAACTCCAATCAATGTCGCTGTATGGCTTAGGGGAGTTACGTGATGCGGGAGGAGCAGAGGGCGGGGCTGCTGGAGGGGAGCTAAAGAAGCTAAATGGCGGTTGAACGCTTGGACGGCGATGCTGATGAAGAAGCCTGCGGAACTGAATGATCGATCGGCTTTGGCGTTGAAAAAGTGAATTGAGCTTGCTTGAGAGCAAGGTTCTCCTCCTGAAGGCGTGCGAGAAGATCTCGTAAATTAGAATTCTCATTTTGCGCTTCTTTATTCTTTTCCTCGAGAGCGGCCACCTTATCCTCCAACTAAAAACCGGACCGTTAGCGACGGTAAATAGGTAAAGTGGCATTCTCACATCTTTGACATGTTTTTCCTTTCGTTCTCGAAAGGCGCGTTGAGCAGCACGATTTTGTTCTTTCCGCTTGAGGAGTCGTGAGTCATCCTTGAGATAAGGTGAATTAACTTGATATGGCTTTTGGAAGTCGACGGATCCACTAACCTGGGACCCTCCCGACTTCCGCCTTAACACTGACCCCTTTTTCGAGGTGCTCGAATCATCAGCTGTTCAGAGGCTTAATCGTCGATTATATACGAGAGTAACATGATGTCACGAACCAGTATGCTGATTCTTTGTACTTGGACCCTCCTCCATGTCGTCATCGCTTGCCTTACGCTTCAGCGCCGACTCTTCGTTATCATTTCCACGGGAGAAAGTAGACTGATGCCTTGAGCGGGAATGATTATTACTTGGTGGGCTAGGGCTGCTATCATCAGAGGGTGGAGTAAGACGTGGCAATGGAGATTTCTGTATGCTCTGTGGGTTTACGGCGCCAACGTCAGCGGCATTGAGGTCAGTGACTGTGTTTGGGAATTGTTTTTGGAGTAGAGTAAGAAAGTCTTCATCGCCAAGCTGAGAGAACTGAGATGGAGTTTGTGATAGATCCCAAAAGTTGTTTATAGAGGGGAACTCCATGAGATTGTGGGTGTTACTCAGGCGGGATAGGATGGAATGAGCCAAGGGTTGGGAGAAGGTATGAGCTCGCTGCGGGTAACAATGACGAGAAGAGAGAGAACGTCGTGGACGATAGCGAAGATGAAGTTTAAAGCAGTCAAGTCAGGAGAATGAGATACGGGGTATGTTGTCGGTGAAAGCAGTCTGCGATGACAAAGCAACCACTTACCCCTGCCATATTAGTTTAATTTAACTCGAAATAATAAAATAACGTTAAGTTTTAACAGGACCGACAACGGGTTGCCGACGGCAGACTGTACTCGTCAGTGTGAGGTGACGCAATTTTTTTGGGGGTAGGTCCATGTTGCTGACTGCAATCCCGCGTTGATCGTTAGTTTAATAGAATATTTCGGTTATCATTTATATAGCCCAACAGAAAATCCAATCCCCTACCATGTGCATCAATATTTGATTCCTGCGCCTTGCCCGGTGCCGGTAGCCAGCTGCCAGCATACTCTATGACTTGACTTACTGGCGCTAATTGTCGGATGGTATCAATGTCCGAGAATCCGAGGTCAGTACTTGAATCACATGGTTGCAATGCTATGCTAAGGTGCTTGTCCAGGACTTGACAATTATCAATATCAGCTGGACGCTACTTTGCCACTTCAAACCCGATCTCAACCCTGATTCAAGCCAGGTCGCCATACATGTCTGAGTTAAGTTGGGTCTCCATTGCTGTTTTCGTAGCTTTCAAATAACTATCATGCTCTGCAATGCATTTCAACCTCCCCCCCTCCCCTCATTAGTGCATCCGTCTTAATCGCAAGCAGGTCTTTAAACCTATGGGCTCTGCGGCGTTATGGAAGCTTCTAGATTATACCTCTCGCCGTAACCAGTCCATGAGAGGATTTTAACAAGTTGGGGCTAATACCCGGGTCGAATCTACAGCTGCGCAACTTTCACCGCGCTTCTTTTCGACCAATCTATCACCAGGGTTTTCCTAGCCTAAGGCTGGTCATGTGTGTGCCGCAACTTATGTAAGGAGCTTCTCTTGTATTTCCCCGAGGAGGTAACTTAGGCGTCTCGGTTCCTTGGCTCAGAGTTTCCTTTTACGGACAGCGATCGCAGTTCCCAGAATAGTACGTATGCATTGAGCTCAGTACAATACCCCATACATCCTAATCGTTCGAGTCCAGACAAGGGCTTTCTGTTATTTATAATTGAACCTCCTTGTCTCGTTACTGTCTTGCCATTCTTCCTCTCGTCCGAGCTCTCCGAATGTTGCTTGTGTGATTTGGGAAAGTGAAACCTGTGACTCGTGAGTGCTATCTTTGTCTTCTACCGCCCATCACGCCGTTTTATACAGCTTTCCGCAGCCACTGACGTTTTGACTCGAATTAACTTGATCGCCGCTCTCACGGTTCTTCGACAGCAGCTTGATGTGCTTTGACCACCTCTGTCATCGATCAACAAAGGTGAGTGACTTCAAAACATGCCTTGTAGGGCTGATGAGTCGCATATCGTCGTCGATTGTACCTCGATAGCATGCCCGTGGTCACCGCATCAAGCTCAGGAGGGATGTACATTGCGCACAACATGTGTACGTATCTCAAATGCCTAAACTACTCGATCAAACTCAAGACGCTAGAAATAGTAACTTTGGTGATCCGAACCTTTCCAGGCCCCCTGACAGTATCGTTGATTGACTTCAGTACATCAACCGATCACGATCGTGCTGGACCCTCGGTGACTTGACTACGTACATACAAGCCCGCCTGGAGCGGTGACGACTTGGGCTCCAGCCGTCGGAAGAGACTACGTATGCACTTTCCAAGTGACGCCCATAAAACCATATGCATCAACTTAATCAGATCAACCTTTCGAACATTCTCGTCCCTGACTTCAAGTTGCTAGTACTACTAGGGGTCAACACAATTGGCTTCGGTAGCACTTCAACGGTTAGAAAAACCAATAATCCCCATTTCGGCCAATTAAATTAAGTTACTTATCCCTGTACCGATGACATAGGCAAGATGATGTACAATAAGTAAGTAAGTGCGTCGTCTGAAATGTGTATGTGTCTGGTATCAATATCACTCGAAAAGGTCACTGAGGACAAGGATGGTTAGCTTTCGCGGATATGACAATCCGCCGACGGCGCACAAACGACGCACATAATATTCAATTTCTAGCTGTTGATTGGCAGTGTCGTGGGGTAATGATCAACACAGGGACGCGGAGGTTGTCAAAAACACGTACGAAAAGAAAAGCCACGTTCCGGGGCCACAGAATGTTTAGCCCAACGGAGTTATAAGTTTGGGTATTCATTTCTTCTATTTTCTGCTTTAGCCGTCGCATCTCCTGTGCAAACTTTCTTCAGCATGCTACGCCACATTGCATATCAGAGACAAACCTTATCATAGTGTGACGTGAGGAAAAATGTTGAGAGGTGCAGGGTGGCGACTGCGAGAAAGTTGTATATAAAGGAGTGGCGGGCGCTATGCGCGGATATAAGGATCTCGTTGATGTCGTTGATGGTCTCCATGAATCGCGTTGGTGTTATCTAGTATTTTGGGGTTAGAAAAGCAGTGCGAGGGGAGATAGGAGTTTGCAGTACTCGACCGTCAAATTCAATAGGATATATTGAAGAGAACTGGATCAGCTCTCCTCCGATATAATCCCTTTCGACGCGTACAATTTCTCGAGGGTGGTGAATACCAATTTGTCCAACTGGTGGTGTTCCGTAGGCCGAGTCTGATGGAGGTGGTCCATAGTAGTACGATGAGTGGGGAATCAACGGTCGCCGACGACTACGTTCGACAGTAAACTGTCAGCATAGAAGAAACCACAATGAAAAATGGGAACGTACCCATTTTGCACTTGAGACGTAAACGTTGCAGACCGTAAGAGGCGAGTAGTATTCAGGGATCGAGGCGGGCATGGTTGACAGGCGGCGGATCGACGATCTCCCAAGGCTGAGGTGAAGGCTCCCTAAATTCAAGATTTAGATGCGCCGGTTTACGACTTGCTTGCCTCCGAGGCTTCTTATCTGTCTCGGAGCCAATGTGGAGGCTATCATGGTCGTGCAAGGATAAGTCGTCCAACCTGGCTGGTGATCCTGCGCGTGTAATGGGATGCCATTCCTGGGTAGCAATGTCCACCTCCTCCAGACCCTGTCCTTCATCGTTTTCCAGCGGTGGCGTTAGGATGCGCACGCTCGTGCTTGCGTTCGTAGGTACGCGTGTGAGTGGTGGGCTCAGCGGTAGTTCCTCGGTTCGAATGTCCCTCTGCCCCACTTCAAAACTGCCCAACTTTCTCAATTCTACCTGCTCTGTCCTCTGAAAATTCCTCGTTGTTGAAGTCCATGCGTGTCCACGAGGTTGCTAGAGAGGAGGGTGGCTGCGCTGGAGCAACGAGGCTGGACGTGGCAGGATGACGAAGACGACCGCGTGTTGTGAGTCGGTGGGTCAGAGGATGAAGAATTCTGATTGGAGTGGGTATGGGATGTGGATTCATCGTTCATGGGAATTTCAAGAGATGTCATGACTTGTCAATGCGCATTGAAGATGCAAGGTTGGGAAGCGCTAAGGGTGGCTGCTTGTTGTTATTCAATAGCAGCCTAACAAGCGCTTTGGTAGAGTATGCTGCGGGTAGATATATGATATGGGATGAACTTTTGATTAATACTGCGATACTTTGACGAGTCTCCTAGTGACGCGAGGATGGACGTGGTGAGAGCTTGAACAGATTTACTTGCATTGCGTCATCTCAACATCTCAACAAAATTTACTGCCGCGATGATTTCCTTTCATGCTGGCATACATATACGAGTGAGTGCTTCATGCGTCCCATTTAACCTGCCCAGGATTTCTCATTAGTTTTGACTTCATCAGCGTACCTGTAGAAGCATCACCCTAGCTACGAGTCTCTCGTTATCTATAGGAATATAATTCAACCACATATCCTGCGGTACGAACGAGGGCGGCCTCCGCAAAGTTCGCAGGCACACCGCAGTTTCTAGAAAACTGATCACCTCTCGAGATCTCGTAGATAGAAGGCGCTCAAAGCCGGTGACTTGGGACGTTTAAATGATCAGCCGCGCACAAGTCCGATTTTACTGCTCCGATGCGCGGCTGCGATACGTCTCCGCCGAACGCTCAAACCTTGTCATGAGGGGTTGAAATCACTGCGCTTTGTCAGTGTCGCGTCTGTTATTGCAAAGCATGATTTGTGAGCATACCTTTGTTATGTGTATTTCGCATAAGCGCTGTAAACACTCGGGCAACGCGAAGGAAAGATATCGACGTGCAGCGACAGGACAACGCAAATTCTTGCATAATCGCCATTCGCCAGCTTCAGACCCGTTACTGAGACGTGACCCTGAGACAGGACAACGCGAATTCATCGCCATTCGCCAGCTTCAGACTCGTCACTGAGACGTGACCCTGAGGATTGAGGAGATACACAGTTCGTATCTCCCTAACTCTCAGGGCACCGGTAAAGTGCCGAGTCGCAAAAATATCGGAAATACATACACTTCCACAAGTTGCTGCCCTTCGGATAAAATGACAAGGCAAGAGCGCAGATACCACTGCTTTGCGAGCCAGCGGAGGAAATAACGATCCCAAAAAGCATATCGTCTCCCCATGGATTCGGCTCGGACGCCCCATCATAGTCATCGAGAGGTGAAGTTGCGCAGCCTCGTCTCTCATCGACTATGGAAATTTGGGACAGAGACTTTTCGTCAACATGTGCGGTGTTTATGAACGAGACGATCGGCGGCAATATTAACGCTTCTCCAGAAGCTTCAAGAATCTCGCACACCAGGAAGCGCACTTCTTCCTTCTAAACCGGGGTTTCACCTCCCGTGTAGATGGTGAGGGCAGATCAGATTCACGAAGATCTTGTGGAAAAAGATGAGATCAGCGAGTTCGGTTGCGGATGTGCATTTATCAAGGGAATCAACAACAAACCAAAGGAGGACAGACATCCGGACAGTCTGAATCGAAGCCTTCAGAGAGAAGTTGAGATCGAGAGAAGATCGTGTTCATCTGGAGAGATATGTCGGGGTGGGCAGGATTCTCGGGGATGATCTATCAGCTCTGTTCACGTCCTCCCGGACGCTGGCAAGCTAGTGGGCAAGCAACGCAAAAAAGATCCAGCCGTACAGTGTTTTGTGTGCTCAAGGGAGAACTCAGAACAGGAACAGTCCCGTGAGATGCCTTTCAAAGTACTGGTTAGTCACCTGCTTTCCGCAACCGCAGTTTCCCCTAGGTAGACAAATAGAAGGAAGGGGGACATTCCTTCTATAAAGGCTTTTTAGACGCACACCGTGCCGCTATGCAGCTGAAGGAGTCAACAATTGTCTAATAACGCGTGGATGTGGTTGAGAACAACACTAGAGTGATCATTAGGTCCCATCGAAACATTCTAATAGGGCTGGCGTTCGCGAGAGAGCAGGTACATTCCATCTGACGATTTGCCAAAGTCCTGTCAGATCAACAGATAGAATCAACGACTCCAGCGCTAGATCATGTCTCTCTCTCGTCGAAACTTCGAAGAAGTATCTGCATCTATCGGAGAAAAGTCCCACTTTTTGCTAAACCATCAGAATCGAAATGCACAAAACATGGGTATTTGCAAGTCTACGGACTGTCTGACAAGTGTGTTCAATGTATCTTGTACATGCGAGTGTGTGGATAATTATCTGTATTATGCGATACGATGTAGCTGCTTCGTCAATGCGGTCATGAGAGGGTCGAGCTTCAAGCCTAAATAGCAAGCGCATACAAAAACATAGAGATAGGTGACCGATATTAAGGCGGGGTAGGCGCAGTCCTTTCTTGTGAGCGAGCAGGAGATGTTGTTCGGCTTCATTGGTGGAGAACCTGCTGCGGGGTTCATGACCTCGGAAAGCTTTCCTCGCGATGGAGGAGTGGAAGAACGGTGTAGAGTCGAGAATCATGCGATCATCAGACGGCGATGGGATGCTTGATTGAGGGGACAGCGTGGCGATGGGAGGGAGCGCAATGGAAGCAGGTGGGCTGGCATGTGATGCATGGCCAGGTCCAATAGGACGAGGATGAGGTGGAAGGCACTACAGCTAGTTGCGGTGGACTAGTAGCGTAGTGAGATGGAGTGCGACGCGACTCGGGCGAATGTGAAGGCTGGGTGCGGAAGGGTATAGGCGACGGTCGAGATGAAGGTATGGGAGTGTGTCGTCCACCTGATGTAGATGATGCGCTGCGCTTGCCAAGATCTACCCGAGATCGCTTTGCGTCCATCTCATCCGCGACTGGACTCAGAGGACGTTTGAGCGAGCCTGAACTTTCGGGAGGTGAAGGACGGCTGCGTGAAGACGAAGAGACGGAGCCACGGTCGGTAGATGAAGGTTGCATCTCGGAGACGCGGTAGTGCGAGAGAGTGAGGAGTGATTCCGTGATCCCTTCGTCATAGTCGTCATCTACTACCCGTGAAGGTGGACGAGGCGTTGCGCTTGTAGGTGAAGGCTGTAACGACCTGCTTCCTGAGGAAGACGTCTCAGGACCCTCTTTCGCAGAGAAAGAGCCAATCTTGAACATAGCGTTCGAAGGAACACCATTAGAATCTGACGACCGAACAGAGTCGTCCTTGGCGCGTCGCTGCCTCCGCTTCTTCTCCTTCTTGGGTGCCTCGCCAATGACACCAGTACCAGCAATGCTCTGTGTAGTCCGAGTCCTTGCTGTCCTTCATCTGCTTCCGTTTGCGATCGCGCGCATCAGGGGCAGGAGTGGGTCGCGGGCTCTCAGAGGGGCGCGAGTTGCTCCCCATATGGTGAGGAAGCGCGTGTGGGATGCCTTCTGGAGAAGTAGCGAAACCCATTGAATGCCTGCGTTGCTCATGCAGCTGACGCTCGCGCTCATACTCCCGTGCGTCTCTTTCCTGTTCGCGTGCAGGGTCGTATCGCCAGTGCCCACCCTCAGGAGGACCTGGAGGAGGTGAGCGCGGGTGAGGGGGACCACCAGGGGGCTTGGAGTCCCAGTATGCACGAGAAGGATGTGCCGACGGATGTGCCGAGCGAGGAGACGTGTCCATCGGGCTATGTCCACGAGGGCCAGGAGAACGTGAGGGATAGTAGGGCTGCTGTGAAGGATGCGAGGGGTATTCAGGGCGTCCTCGACGGTCCCGTTCACGCTCCCATTCACGGTGATGCTCAGGAGGTGGCCCACGACGATCCCAAGCCATATCATGTTCTGGGCGAGGTGCCTCCCGCGGATAAGCCGGCGGCGATCGCTGTGCCAAGCTGGGCTGGGCAGGTCCCACAGGTTGCCTGTTTGATGGAGGGTAGTTTGGGTACCCAGGACCAGGCGATCGGACTCGTGCATTATGTGGTGGCGGTGGCGAGACGGACGTGGAAGGGACCCTGAGCGGACGACCAGGAAAGTGGTCATTGTACTGACCAGGGCCGTGGACGGCGGAATTACGAAGCTCCTCCGTTTGCACTTGCTGCTGTGGAACAGGGTGGTGTAGAAGCAGGGTTTGGTGACCAGTTGGCCCGCGACCTGGACCCTCACGCGATGAACCGGGGTAGTCACGAGGATGAGGTGGACGATCGACGTCCATAGGCGCGAGGGGCGTATGTGAAGGGATATGACGACTCTCGTCTAGCACTACGGGCGGCGGAGGACCACCTCGGAACGGACCAGGGGATGACCTAGAGGCGGGTGCAGGTGCAGGAGGGGGCAAATGAAGATTGTCACCGCTAGGCGGGCCGTTGGACTGAGGCCTGAAGATAGGGGGACGAGTTGAAGTTGATTGCAACAGGAGAGGAGGACCAGTGAGTCCTGGAGGAGGAACGACGGCGCTGGCATACGCAGTTGGGTGCACGTCTTGAGGACCTGGTGCAGCAGGAAGCTGACCACCAGTCGCTTGCGCGTTCTTGAGGAGCTGGAGGCGCTGCGCAATGACGTGGTTACCAGGGTCCAGTTCGCTGGCACGCGCATAGGCATCGATGGCGTCTGAGATCTGGTTGTTGCAGCTCTCGTAAAGGCTGCCCAAGTCGAACCAGACCTCAGAAATATAAGGGTTGATACGTATGGCACGCGAGTATGCATCAAGAGCATCACGAAATTGGTTGATCTGGAAGTAAAGGACGCCAATGGAACACCAGAAGGTGGGGTTACGACCGTCGCGGTAAACTGCCTGCTGGTAGGCTTCGTAGGCCTTGTTGTACTTCTGGCCGGCCATGTAAGCACGACCAAGGAGATACCAGCTTTGAGCATCTGAGGGGTCTGGATGACGGCATTAGAAGCGAATGTAAGTATAGAACCACAGGAACCTACCAGCTTCCAGACTCTTGGTCAGGTACTGAATGGCAAGCTCCTGGTTCTGAAAAGAAGATCCATCTTGGTGATACAACCACCCTAATTGCTGTAGGACTTTGGCATGTCCAGGGTTGTCAGCAACAACACGTTCATATGCGTCTTTAGCGCGGACATGCTTCAAGGATTATGAGCATCTGCAGCATAGGATAGGAGAACTGCTTACGTCTTTTTGTTGCTCGTAAACATGTCCAATCTGGAACCAGATGTCGGCGTGGGCGAGAGGACTTGGAGGATTACGGAGGATGCGATCAAAGCAGCTGAGGGAATCATCATACTTGCCCTGCTGCTTGTAGATGATGCCGAGACGGAAGAGAATCTCATTCGCCTTATCGAAATCTAATTCTGCGCAATGAATATATACCGGAACGCTTCGCGAAGGAGAAGAAAACCAACCTTTGTCCATCTTGAGGACAGAAGCGAACGCCTCTTCGGCGTGGTCCAAGGATCCATACCGGTCATAGAGTATACCGATACCGTACCATAACTTGGGATCCTCCTTCGGGTTGACATGAGGACGGAGAAGAGATGGTGATATGAGTACGAGACTTACCTTTGGGTTTGGGAGCAGGTACAAGGCCTGCTGATAAGCGGAGTAAGCCTTCTGTAGATCATCTTGCATGAGATAACAGTGCCCTGGATGGCGATGAGTATATCCGGATATATAATTGTGAAATGAACGAACCGAGTGCACTCCATACTTCGCCGTTGTCTTCTTGCAATTGAAGAACGCGTTGGAAATATTCGACAGCCTAATATAGAAAGAATGACATCAGCCGCCACGTTTAAGATCTGAGATTGGAAATATGATCTGAGATAAGGGAGGGCGTAACAAAAAGGCTGAGAGATAGGCGACGAAAGGGAATTCCTCGGAGGACATCGGGTTGGACGGGGGATTGGCACGAAATAGGATCAACGATTTTTCCTACCTTTGGATAATTTTCCTTGATCCGCGCGATTCCCGCTACTTGTGTAAGTCCTGACAGGGACATCGGGTTATGCCGTAGAGCGTTTTCATAAGCCGTGATCGCATGTTCAAGGTCGCCCATTTGCTCCGCGACACGCCCTGGGAAAATAAGAGGATTAAACTCATTAGCCGGGTTCACTTTCAAATCGGAAAATGAAGAAAAGCTTACCGATCAAAAGCCACGTTTGCTCATTGGCTACTGCCAATTTGTGAATGACGCTAGATGGAGCGGGGGCAACGCCGTTTGAGGCGGGAGCGTTAGGTACTACAACAGGCGATACGATCTGATTGGATGCTGTATGAGCATGGCTTGAACCATTTGAAAGAGCTGGTGTAGTAGGCAAGGCTGATGCATTTCCATTTAGATGAGTTTGTTGATGTGCTGAGTTAGGTGGTGGTGGTGGTGGTGGTGGTGGTGGTTGGTGTTGGGGATGTGTGAGGATAGCATGAGGATGAGAATGAGTAGGTGGGTCATGCATGCGCACATCCCTATCAGACTGACGTTGTAAATGTCTGTGGGACATGATTTGTGGTATAAGGCGATTTACGCCAGATAGATTTGAGAACAAGAAGCGAAGAGGGGAAAGTTGACAAACCTTGGAGGATGATGATATATATATGAAAAGCTGCGGGAGAGGGGAGATCAGGGCCTTGGCCGTCGGCTACTTTTCCCTTCTATACAGTAACTGATCTCGGCTCTTTTCGCATGTGGAGTTTCATGGAAGTATGCCCAATCTTGGTCACTAGCGTGAGTTAAAGAGCTTAACGGATGACTAGTCGCTGTCTTTGAAAGAAAAAAAGTTGATTGAAATGCCAATCCGCGTAATGCCGTGCCACACTTCCGGTACTTTTACGGCAACCCTTCCAGATCTAGAAAAACGATCTCGGAGGCGATACGTACCAAATTACTGGTTCCGACTTTCCAATCAATTCAACTGTTGTCAGCCTAGCTTGCTAATTTTTCGCAGTTGCGGTAAAAAAAGTGTGAGCTGTATCCAGGGTCTATTCATAAATTTACTTCTAGAAGTACAATTTCTACCTAATTTACCCTTCAGGTACCCTCCTGTCAATGCTTACTAGTGGCGTATCCTAATCTTGATCTTGTTCTCACTTATGGAAAATGAAATACATGTTCACTCCTTCTGGACTCTTACTTGGCCGCCATCTCTCGCTTCGCTAAACCAACCAGCTGACTTCCACCCGTCATGATATTCCACGTGCACAACTAAGTACTCCTTACTATCGAAACATGCGATGTCACGGCGAGTATCAGCGGTGTAAATCCACGTTCCATTCCATGATTGCTACAACTACTGCGGCCTCTTCCACTCCTCTACCAGATCTCCGTCGAACCTGCTGCGAACCCTGAGGCCTGAGGGTGGTGCCGACCACCTAATCAGGCGACTTGCTATTATTCAATTTGGTGACGCGATGTGCCAACGATGCTCAAGCTTCCATTTTTTTTCTCCGAGAAGACGACGACCACGCGTTTGACCAAGAAGGTAATTACATATTTCCATTAATCAACATGAACCAGCGTCCCGCTGACTTCGTTTCAAGCACAGCGCTCGTACTTAATCGCCTCAATTGCCACCACAACTATGAATTAACGCGATCCTCCGACCGGATTGATCTACCTCCGTCCCGGTCGGTGCGCATCAAACTGTTGGGATTCATAGATCACTAACTGATGTTTGATCCCCCCCTGTAAGTAGTCGTTCTTTGCCGTGGTAACAATTTGCGCAGTCATTCATATCTCTCTGGAATGAACCAGATGGCCTGGCACAGAGCCAATCTAAAGTTGTGTGCAACTCATGCCCTAGTTTACATAAACCTTTCCCCAACACACTCTTTGATGTCGAAGAGGATTGCCAGAAACAGTATAAAACTTCCTCTGGACTATACCCAAAAGCGAGCGCTCAATGACCTGCCAGTAGAGTGTGCGAAGGATCGTCAGGCTCATCGGGCCGGCGAATAAGACTTGCTCATCGGCGAAGTTCGGAAGAGAAGAGGTGCAAAATAAGAAGTGCTGCGTGCCAGCAGGCACATTTGTGTAAGTTGGGGCAGGCTGGGGCGGTGTGCTGCGGTGTGGGGGTTAGATCAACGGCGTGAAAATGCGATGCGACAGATTGGTACACGTACCGATGGGAATTAGATCATACCAAGCGGCGGCGCACAGGGTCACGGCAAACATGTTACAATTTGAACATGGTTCAGGTTGAGTGGCTGTTGATTGCAGGGACGCATACACCGCTTACAAGCACATGCAGATTGCACCCGACTAGATTCGTTTAGATTGATCAAGTCCGCGGGAGATGAAATGATATCCACGAATGTATGCCTGCATATACCCACGGTCTTCTCAGTGATAGCGGTTCTTTAAAGTGGTTATGGCCAAGTTTGAAATTTGATCATCCACCGTGCTAAAATAGGCAGATAGAACGGCTCACCGAATCCTCAAGATGACGTTCCCTAGGGAGACTTCGTCATGTGACAAAGTAACAGCTGCCAGTCCATCATCGATTCACTTGCTTGTCCAAAGCTCCGTGCCCTCGATCGTGCAGTCATTCATGTAATTCATCTATGTACACCTTGAAGCTCCTTTGATTTCGGAAAAGACTCATCTTGGGGTTTTGAACACATGACCTCGTTAATGAAGGTTACAAATGACCTTTCTTGGCTTTCTGATGCAGCATAGGTGGTGCGCTATTGGTTATTCGCGACCGGTTCTTAAGTTGGAACACGGGCACATGTCTCAATTCCGCGCAGCACTGCATCGATCGAGGGAATGTGATTGTTGAGTGTTGTGCTCTCGATTCTCGGAGTCAGCTGATCATGCAAGATCTCAATATGATCGTACGGAAGGGGGTACAATTCCAAATGATGGATAATATCGCAGCAGCCAGCCATCCTTTCGGGAAGAAGATACTAAAGTCTCGACGAATCGAGACCTCCAAGCGATTGCCGACTCGGAGAACATAACATCCTCTACTTTGCCGCACACTTCGGGTAGGTCACTCAACATCGCGGCAGTCAAGGACTCTCAGTCGCAATTGGGGATGTCTGGTGTACGTTACTATTGGCAATAGGATTCACATTGCGTGCCGATTCAATAGACTTGGTAACTTTCCGCGCGACATCGTTCACCATTTGAAAATACGTCTAGTACATCATACACTATTGCTTAAGACAATGTTACTCCCAAAGAGGCAAACCTTATGTTCGTCGGCAAAAGCCAGACCCTGAAAATTAGAGTGATTGCTGTGGCGCTGAGCGCAGACGGTCTGCCTGTAGGTGAGAACATGGGGTAATACTTGCGAACTCTTGACATACATACTGTCATCGTGCGATGTGACGTTGCAATCTGAATCACCCCTCTGAGAAGCTTACTTGACACGAGTAATTCCAAAGATAGCCGATAACTCGTAATCAGCACGTCTGAAAGACAAAACCAATCGAGAACAGAGAATCGTGTCCTCAGACTAGACTATCGTAGTAATTACGAGAATGTCTCTTTGTATTCTAATTATGAGACGTGGTCACAGGATTTCTTTCCTAATCGAACATGTACTTCGAGCCCTAAACGCTGTGGCAAGCGCAATGATTCCAGAAAATAGGGCTGCCCGGGCAGGGAAGTGAGTCACTGAGACACCAAAGATAGACAAGCGTGCGTGAAGGGAAGATCCGTGGTCATTAGACAGATATGAAAAGGCTCATGGCATCATTTGCCTCTTTCGTTCAGGCGCCAGAGATGTGATATGATGATCATAAACGTGGTACTGGGTGTGCTGCGGTGTCTCGGAGGTTTGAAAGGTCCAGGGAAAGCTTCAAATCAAATATAGACCAAATATTCTTACACGCAATTGTTTGTCGGTGTTTAGCAGAACCCTTGCTTTAACACCAGGGACGTTAATTGCAAAGAACAAGTACACCAACTACGATGACTCGTGAGTCTTTTTTTCTTTGCGATATCATTTAAGTTACTGATCATGTCGTAGGAGGAAACCAACGAGAGATGGATCGGGCGAAGGCTGCCAAGAAGCAGGCTGTCGCGAATAAATCCAAAGCCAAAGAAAGTAATACATCGCTGGCAAAGCGCAAAGAGGCGTATGTGTCACTTTTCGTATCGTTCAAGTAGACGACCTCACATCTGTACCTTCCAGTGACGCAGAAATTTTAAGAGCGAAGCAGAAGGCATGACCTATAGTTGTTACCTTTACCCTCGTATCGTTCGGCTCACTTTACTGATCGCAGAAACGAGACGAAGAGAAGGCTGCAGAAGCAAACGGAGCAAAATCGAATAAATAACACGAGCCTATGGTCAGGACTCCTTAGATTCTGACCATGGTCTCCGATTGTTATCAGTTGGAACTTGGAGACTTTTGGTGGGAGCATCTATCTGTTGATATCCTCCTCGACACTGTTGCCTTACTTGCATAGCTTTTTGATATTGCATTATTTTCATCGTATCATCCATGCGCCGGGCTGCGACACTTATGCGATGGGTACATTGATTTTGGACTCAGATATATCAAATCTCAACTATGTACTTGCGTGCAGCTCTTAGTATCCAATCAGAAACGATGAAAATCCAATGCATCAGAATCAGGAGCTCCATCGCAACGCTCGAAGTCCGTTCCACTGGTTGAGTCTTGCGGCACCATCTCAACACGCCACATGAGCTAATCGCACGATAAGATCATTGCGGCGATTAGTCAGACACGTTAGACTTCAGAATTCCCCCAGTCCATAGAAGGCCCTAAAACGGCCCCAGCAATTCCGATTGGTGTTTTGAAAGTCTGGGCTGGGCTCGGGAGATTCGGATCTTGGTATGGCGGAGGTATCAAATATTAATTTTAATGCTGTACTGACCTATTAGGTTTCATGACGAAGATGACAGCTAGGAGACATAACTGTTGACAAGGGGAGGTCCCTTGTCTGAACGTTCTGAACTGTCAGACGGGTAGATGGGCCCTCGGATGCCCCACATTCTTACCTGAAGATGTGCCGTCAATCAAATGAACGCTATATATACCATGAGGACGGGCTCCGGGTCACCGGCATGTCAAAAGTTGGCTTTTCAAATCTAGCGATACGATGACTCATCTTTACATAAATGGCTTCTGTGCTTAGGCAGCCCTGGATCATCTCCCTGGGTATTTAAACCTTCCTACACACGCGAGCTATCAGCGATCAGATCACGAAACCGAAACTGACCAGATACGGAACCATTATGCCTATTTAATACATGCGGTCAATTTAGTTCAAATGGTCGTTGCATGCCAAACCTTGTTAACGTTCCCATGGCAGGTTCACACTTGACGGATAGCCATCCTGAGTCCTCACCGTGGGTGGACAGAAGTAGTCTTGTTCCGATCATGCCTTCAACTTTTACCTCAGGGGCAGACATCTCTTTCCAGGAACTATCATTGAGATGTTAGAGCAGACAATTTGGCTTATCCTCATCGGCTGGCCAAGTTTCCGGTTTCGGGGTGACATCCTGTGGTCTCGACACCCGACATTTTAGGAACAGCGGATGAATCCGCCGAGTGACCAAGTGTTCGCGCCAGTGTTTTCTCCGTGTCCAAAAACGTCTACCAAGACTAGGCTCATTCTACTAAGCGGTACGAAGAGAAACTCACTAGTACATTTAACCTATAGTATAAGCTCTTCAGCCGAAATCAGTGATCGCAGCGCATTAATCCCACTCTGGACCAGACTTGATCGGAACGTTCATGAAAAATAATAAAAATGCTTGATGTGGGTCTATACTATGCATTCCAATGATCCGTGCCCCATAGATTTAATAATGGAGAAAAGAAACCGTCATTTTACTTTAATCGCCTGTCCGCCTTCTAGACGTCTTCTGCGAGGCGCATCTTCCGTCATATTGTCACTATTTCCGAACCCAGATCCCCGAGGTGTCGGACCAGAAGGGAGGTAATGATGAGGAAATTGTGGTACTGGCGGAACTGCATACGCTCGCGAAGAATGGGCAGCTTCGTGACGCGACCGGTACAGCGAGAATAAGGAGTTGATAAAGACCGTCAAAAAAGATAGTGACGTCAACGTAAAAGCCTATGCACAAATATGTAATCAGCACAGCACATTGATCGGCAGGGACTCCCATGTACTAACCAAGGTTTTCCAGCTGATGGGCTCCACAAAGCCATTTACAACTTCAGCAATAAGTTCCGCACCTACTCGAGCACGGCCAACCGTGGCGGGGTCGCGATCCATGCATGTTTTCCAAGATGCACATTGTTGGATCATGGCAGGCACAGGGTTGCTTTCGCATAGGTTGTTCCTGTATTGCGTGGCACACATGCCGATCTCTTGCACAATATCTGACGAATAATTCATTTCAGCACACGCATCAACCGGGATGAAGATCATACCCATCGAGTATTCTGAGATGCGGTGTCCAACATCACGTTGACTGTGAGAATGAACTGCACGAGGAGATAAAGAAACACCATGACCAGTGACAGGTTGAAAAAGAACTGTAAATAGCTTGGGAAACATGATTAGCGTACTCGGAGGGTGGGAATGCAAACGACCTCACCCTAGCAGGACCTGTGGCATGTCTGACTGCGGTGCCGGGGCAGACGGCATGTTGAGGGTGTAGTGGTTTGACGTATTTTGTGTCACAGGCCCCACATGATCTGTATCGCCATCACTTTCTTCCTCGCTGCCGTACCCCGGGTCGTCGCGTAATGATACAGCATGATGGCTTTTCGTACGAGCCCTCTGCCTCGAGTTGAAAACTCTTCTGAGCGCCCCTGTGGCAACTATTCTCCCACTTTCTTTCTCAGAAGCCTCGGGTTTATGAGGGCTAAGCTCGGACATATCCACATCGTGCAGCTCCTGAGGAGGAAATGCTTTCTGAGGTGAGAAATTCACGGGGGGCGCCCATGCGTGCACTGGAGGAGTCTGCGGTGGTGCAGCTTGAAAAATGAATGGCACGTTGTGATTTTCTCCAAACATAGGAGTTTGAGGTGGATGAGGAAATGCCCGGGTTTGTGGGTTCAAGGTCATCGAATGGGCCTGAAACTTGTCAGTTCGGTTAGGAAGAAAACAAGATGAAAAACCACGTTTTCGGGGGGCATTTAAGTCGTTATTAGAGGCCCAGACTGGCTTTGTATTACTGCTTGGTCGAGACGTAAACTGGAAGTCCATTGGAGCTTCCGTCGATCGCTGCACATGCAGGCGAGAATTCATCACGTCACAGATGCAGCTGAAGTATACCGCTGCTCTTTCAGAGCGGGTTGTGAAACCAAATGTCGTTAAACGAGGTGCAAAAGGCCTGAGGAAGCCACTGCAGACGGTTAGGTGCAAGTTGGAACACGTCGAGCGTGATAGAGACGCGTGTGTCACGCATTTACAAACTTGAACGTCACACTCATCACGCTCATTTCTTTTCATCACGTGGTGGACACTGAGGTTGTCATCCCCGAGCTCAATGTCGTCTGCAATGAGCACCGCTTGGAGGGCAGTACTAGTTACAACTAGAAGTCAGGCAAGGGCAGGCTTACTACCGTCGTCACGCACATTACACCATCTTTCCAGCACATGGGGACCTCCATCAGCGAACCTCGTGCCCATAGTCATTGAACAGACAGTAAGCAACCCTGCATTCTTCGGTTGTCTCCAGCTTAGCACCCTACCTTGTGCGTGCAGGGAAGGGGCGAGCGATCATATGACATTTTTTCCCGCCTATTGCGCGAACGTGTAATAATGTTATATGGACCTGTATGTTTGCCGTTCTTCAAAGCCTCGGGCTGAATTAATTCATCTCATTGGCCTTCCAGATACGGGATACAGATTCAGCCCTGACTGTTGCGCAACTCTTATTTCTTGAAGCGGAAGATTCCTCTAAACCAATACACCTATACATCAACTCCCCTGGAGGAAGCGTGACCGCAGGACTAGCTATATATGATACAGTACGAGTTCCCTTTGGTCTCGGTTGTTGTGTCAGCTAATCTAACATCTCAAAGATGCAGGTTTGAGATCCCCTTGGTGACATTGTTCGCGTCCTGACGCCTACTTGTCTACTTTTAGTACGTTTCTTCCCCGATACACACATATTGTGTGGGACAAGCATGCTCCATGGGATCCCTCTTATTGGCGGCGGGTATGTCCTTCGGAGGTTTTTTATTTGAAAAACATATCACGGCACTCTAGGTGAAAAGGGAAAGCGTCATTGTCTTCCTAATGCCAGTATCATGATCCACCGTGAGTGAACACACTGGCAGCGGTGGACATAACTTAACCGTTATTGTTCGCTCGCAGAGCCTTCTGGAGGCGCTTCTGGACAGGCTTCTGACATTGCAATTCACGCCAAGGAAATTTTGCGCGTGAGACATCTACTGACAACTATATATCAGCAACATTGTGCCAAAGCAGAGGAGAGTGAAGCATCGGGACTGGAGCGTTTCGGTAGGCTCATCCCTTCCTTCACCAGGTGACATATTAACATTTGTTCAGAGACGGCACTGGAGCGAGATTATTTTATGACGGGCAAGTTTCCTCGTGTTTAATGACGACGGCCCTCTCATAGAACATTTTTAGCACAAGAAGCTCTTAACTTTGGGATTGTTGATGGCATTCTGGAGAAAAGACCAAGTTCCGAAAGCGATTCAAATCTGCATGATACACGAACTTAAAGCCCTTCTACTCCCGATGGGCGCGATGAATGGCAATGGAAGCCCCTTTTGCCCTTTTTGTAGTCTTTTCTACGCCCGTGTAATCTTCGCTGGTGATGGGGTAGGATAGCATGACTTTCCTTACATGTGAAATGGACTGATACAGGCATTGTTGTAAGTTTCTAGATGGACCACTTCCCCTGAACTTTGTGTACCAGTATTGAATACGCCTACCTCCATTGTGAAAGGCATCAGACCGCAGATCCCCGTTTCCAGAATCCTTTGTGCTGATCGGCATATCAAGGGTAAATTCCCAGGTCAGCGTGTCCCAATTGATCGATCTACCTGGCTTCCTGGCGCCAACATGTTGTGTTGCGGCGTAATACCCTTCATTGAGTATTACCCCTTGCGTAAACTAACAACAGTAGTGACTTCGTCATGGCCGGTCTAAAAGATCTAGTGACATATATTGATGTACTCTCAAATCACATGCACCCTCGGTACCGGAGACCAACGGTTGTGAAGGAAATCATTGATCCTCTCAATCAGGTCGTACCGGAATGTTCCCCACGTTCTCGTGGCCTCGAGACAACCCCTATGAACTGAACATGCACCAACGCGCAGTCACTTCGATCGGATGATAGCCATATGTACTCTCATTTATTAATCTCAATTCCCGGAAGAGTTCTTTAAGCTTCAAATGGACACACCGAATTGTGCGTATCGTGTAACTTTCTCGCAGCTTGTGCGGATCCTCGACGTGTGGGATACGTGTCGGGACCTGGACCTCTCCTTAACCGGCCTTGCCCTTCTTGCCCACACTGTCTTGTATCATCCGTGATAGGATATGTAGCTCATCCAAGATTAACACTGATAAATCACAGGATGTTCCCCATAATAATTGCACCCGGTGAGTACCATCGAATGAGGGAATGCTAAATAGCCTTTGCTATATCAGGTTGTGCCTATTCAAGCATCCCATGCTCGTGTGCGTGCGCCGCAGCAAGCAAGTCTTCTATCATTTCGGCGAGCTCGACCTCAAGGCACACATGCGATCTCAGATCGAATGCCTTATCAACATTTCACCGATATTTTAGCACAGCCATTTGTGTGAGCGCTTCGGAGTGATCCTTTGGGATCACACACGATCCACTGATGCGGATACCATCGGGCCACAGGAATAGGCGGGAGAGACCAAGGGATGGGTTCGAGCGTCTGAGTCTGTCATCGAAGGCATATATGGCTAAGCGGATGCCCTCTTCCGTCGATGATTCCTCATAGATAACCTCTTTGCAAATAACCAGTCCCATCAGAACAATGATCTATTTCGTATATAAAAGCTTGGTTTATGTGGCTCTGAGCACATGCACGCCCATGAAACTCTTTCAGCCACCTTGTTGCCTTTCAAGCTCTTGCCGATCATCCCGCCGGATCAGACCGACAACGATTGATTAAGGGAGCGACTGCTCTGGCCAGTCTCGCGGTGGTGGCGTGTGCTAGGGATGTCTAAGATGTGACGAGATGAGATGAAACTATCACGCCGCTCAGTGGCAGACCATTGGTGCGTGGCTGAATATATGAAGCAAACTGGCGTCAAGCACTTCATATTAATTGAAGCAGGGGCAGTGATCTCCTTCAAAGGCATTGGGTGGCATAAGGATCAAATGGAAGAGCCAATGCTATGGAGAGTGTGCTCAATAGATAGCTCAATATAGCTTCTCGTGTCTCTGCATTTTGATTGATGCAATCGGATACCAATAATCTCCACAGCTGTGATCTCATGGAAGCAATGGAGGTCCAACCCGTGCTTGATTCTAGTTTTAGCTAGACCGACTACTTGAAAGTACAAAAAATACCGCAACTCGCGGATATAGAGCGGGTGACGCTACAGATAGGGATACAGGAGAACGCCGGCACAATCAGCGAAAAATAAACCTTACAAGGGATTTTTTGAGAGAAACCAAATGATGCAGGACAGAGATCCTAGCACCTCCTGCACGAACCCATTAAGTGACGAACCCATTAAATGACTATGACCTTCACTACTAATGCATGTTGTTGCGAGCAAGGAAATGGCGACGATTGCCGCCTCCACCCCTGCCACCGCCATTACCACCTTGCCCGTTTCCTCCATTTCCTCCTTGTCCTCCGCCTCCGCCAGCTTGAGCAGAACTTGTCGCGGCTGCTGCTCCACCCGTAGCTGTTGAGGACACCGCAGAGCCACCTCCAGAACTGGCAGCGGCACCGTTGGTATTGGCGTTGTTACTGACAGTGAACTAAATGGGTAATGAGTACATGGCAAACATGTGTCGCGGGAATGAACACACGTAGACTACATCATCAAGAGATCCGTGCTGTGCGATGGGCACCAAGACCGGCTGGTGGTTTGCGGCACTGTTGATCGTCGAGATCTTGTATGTCCCTTCAGGAAGACCATTCGTCACGTCCGCGGTGAGAATGCCGTTATTCGCAGGGTCGTTCAGGCCCTTGAAAAACGCGAACTTGCTAGGGTCGGTCGGTGTTGTCTGTGTGAGTGAGCTCAGCTGCTCGATGACGACATGGGAGTGCCCCTGGATCTGCCCTTAGTCCGTTTAGCTGCTGGGGTGCGGAGAAGTAATTTTGTTGGGCATTAACAAAATGGCCTGTCTCCATGCCCTGAATAGCGAGAGAGACGGTAAACGCCTGGTTTGGCGGGATAACATCGAGGTTCTTCGGGTTAGTGAACTTAGCGGAGGGCATGTTCGCCGTGGAGGGGATGGAACCCATAGGTGCGGGGTTGCAGGACCCACCAGTGATCTGCTGGCCATTGGTGATCGGCTGATTGGGGGCGGTCAAGCAGAAGTTGATGAAGTTATTCGACGAGGTGAGTGACGCGACCTGGCCAGCAGCAGGTTGACCCTGGCCATTGTTTTGGAAGCCCGTCGCGATGACCGCGGGGTCAAGAGCTGAAGAAATAAAAATGAGGACGGCATGCCACAAAAAAACAGTAAAGGATACATACTCAGGGAGGTCTGGGGGTCATTGGTGCCTATTACCTACCGCCACCACCGCTGCTTTCCATTACCACGAATAGGTGAGGCCAGCGACCAGCGTGGCAAGAGCAGGGAGGGCAACAAGAACTCGAAAAGAAAGCTTCATGGTCGAATAAAATGTACAACAGGCTTCGCGGAAGCCGTAAACAAATGATCAGAAGAAAGATCCTATAAATCTGCTCTCGCGTTCATCGTCTTCCAAAACGAAGGAAAGGAAAGGGCAACACACTCACAAAAAAGCAGCACGGCTGCTAGAGAAAAGGCGATGTGACAAATAAGAGAACGGTCTGACATTTATACCGCGACAGTATGAAATTCCAGGTTGCAGATGGCATGCTCCTAGCTTTGAAGGTCACCACGGGAACTGCAGCGAGCGGCATTGGGGGTCAGAAAGACAAAGTCCACGACACCATCGCGACAGCCATTCGGCAGCGTCAAATTCCAGCAAGCATTGAAGAAAGTGCTCCAAAGTAAGCCAAAGGATCGTAATGAAACAGTGTGGGGAAGCAGACTCACTGCCAAATTAGGGTTACCGACATCGCAACAATGGCATGGGTCGTTTAGCAACTGCTTAGTAAGCAATACAAGACAAGCAACCGCTGTCTGATAAGATCGACATAATGAAAACGTTGAGCCCAAAAGTCCTCGAGGGAGAGTCAAGGAGACCGGGACTTGTAACGCCCAGAAAATTTAATAACCACGGGTCATTGTACCAGAGTTTAGTCAGCAACCGCCGCGATCTGATAAGACGAGCGTAAAGCAGTCCGAGTCAGAAGACATCTGCGAAAAACTGTCATCGAGTTTGGAAACATCTCATACATCCAGAAAATTTGACAGCCGCGGAGAATGAGTCTGGTCGGCAGGGTCACAAAATACACCGTCACCGTCACTTTGTGCTGAAGGGGTATATTAACAGGGTACCAATTACACGGTAGACGCGTCCTAATCATACTTAGTTGACGTTTTAACCATGAACGACGCCAGCGTGTCTATTTCACTGACCATATGGTCCTGGAAATGTCTCTCTGCAATGGCAACGAGGACTGCTTGGAACTCAGCAACGTCCGCCAAGATGGGCGTGCGACACTCGTTTTCCTCCAGTAACCGTGAGCTTCGTCGTCGGTTTTGATCTTTCGGATCTCTCCTTGACCTGTTTCCAGAAGGGGGGATTGCGAATGGACTGACGCCTCGTGGATTCTGCCGTACAGGGTCAAGAAGGGAATCCGGGGAAGGGGGATCGGCGGCAGTCAGGGGTGATGGGTATACGGGTGGAATCAAATTGAAATGGGAGAGATAACGATAGAGCCCTGCGGTTGGCATGTTTTTGAAGTCAGTCTAACGAGAAGGTGTCAGTGTCATGGTAGCTGGTGTCACGGATTGCTCTCACCGAGCTCTTGAGGTCGTTATCTGTATTCGCCTTTTCCGCCCTTCTGCTGACTGCAGTGCCGTGTTCTACTCTCTTTCTCTTTACGCGTGGCTCTCCCTCTGCCCTGTCCGCCGCCTGTCTTTTTGTCCCTGTGACTCCAAAGTAGGCTGCATCGTCGTTTGGCTTCTTGCGAGCCTGAGGACGCGAACGTGAGCCCGATGTCGAACCAGCGTTTGCTGATATTGTGGCTGACGTAGACATGCTAGCGTTTGCAAAGTAGGCGGACGATGACTAGAACTGCGAACTTAAACAGATCTACAACATAAACCATGAGAGATGTTCCCACGCGCTTATCATTTTATCTTTTCGGTTAGTGCTTAAAGCTGTTGCACTAGCGACCTTAGACTAAGCAACAGCTAACAACTCGTCCGACCGAGGCTCTGCTGTGCTAGTACGGGCGCATAGGCGTATCACGGCCTAAAACTAGCCTAACGCGTCATTAATCGCGAGTAGTTCGGTTAAGTACTGCCATACCGAGCCTTACTGCCAGACGTAGATAAAGAGAGATTAATAATCTCATACGATTATCTCATATTTCTTCCTCGCTTTCTACCTCTTGTCTCCTACCAGTAATGTCGACCTTTGGAACCCTTTTCCGCGTCACTACCTACGGTGAGAGCCATTGTGCCTCCGTAGGTGCAATCATCGATGGCTGTCCTCCGGTAAGAGTCATCTCAGTACATAACTTAAACCCAAGTTCATGCTGAAGGATATACTGCAGGGACTAGAGCTGTCTGCACAAGATATTCAGGTGCAGCTGAGTCGCAGAAGACCAGGACAGAGTAATCTTACCACTCCTGTGAGGAATTTTTCTATTTCTGTCTGATATGCTCACCCCAAAGTCTGCGATAGAGAGATGAGAAGGACCTTGTGCATGTGCAATCTGGCATCGAGCACGGTGTCACCCTTGGAACGCCCATCGGTCTCCTCGTAAAGAACGAGGATCAACGCCCGAAGGATTATTCTGAGACCGATTTGTACCCTCGCCCCAGTCATGCGGACTACACCTACCTCGAAAAGTATGGTGTGAAGGCTAGCAGTGGAGGTGGACGTAGCAGTGCACGTGAAACTATTGGTAAATTCACTCCATCTGGGACATTGCTCGGAGTCTGATTCGATTTGTTTTGCATAGGTCGTGTTGCAGCGGGTGCCATTGCCGAGAGATACCTCAAACAGGTGTATGGCATTGAAATCGTCGCGTTCGTCTCTTCAGTTGGCAAGATCCACCTACCTTCCAACGTGGCTCCGCCATCGCTTGCGCCAGTGGATGGAGATGAAGACAACGATGACGCGGCAGACGCGTTGTCACCCGAGTTTAGACAATTACTAGCCACGATTACTCGAGAAGAGGTTGACAAGCACATCACACGTTGTCCTCATCCAGAAACTGCAGAACGGATGACGAAGGTGAGCAATGTTTTTTCCCTGTGATGCCCGTCATAATCAGTAACCGACTGCTCGTCATTAAAAGCGCATCATCCGTGCCAAAGAGGCTTCGGACTCTATCGGTGGAACGGTAACGTGCGTCATTCGCAATGTCCCGTCAGGTCTCGGAGAGCCAGTCTTCGACAAGTTCGAAGCGAAACTTGCACAAGCTATGATGTCAATTCCTGCCACGAAAGCTTTCGAGGTTGGTTCAGGCTTCAGAGGAACTGAGGTTCCCGGAAGCAAGCATAATGACGCTTTTATCGTGAAAAACGGTAAACTCGGTACTACAACTAACTGGAGTGGTGGTATCCAGGGAGGCATCACCAACGGCGAAGACATCTACTTCAGGTACGGAATTCCGCCTCTCAAGTTATGCTTGACTCACTTTTGTCTACTACAGGATTGGATTCAAGTCACCTGCGACCATATCGCAAGAACAACGCACGGCACAGTATGATGGTACACCAGGAACACTCGCTGCTCGCGGGCGTCACGACCCTTGTGTTGTCCCGCGTGCTGTTCCCATCGTTGAGACCATGGCAGCCATTGTCATCATGGACCAGTTGCTCATTCAAAGCGCGCGCGGGGCTGCTGCTAAGATGCTCCCTCCCATCACAACGCTCCCACCCACCATGGTGATGCCATCGCAATGATAATAATAGAACAAGGATCTCGATAGCGGATATAGACCAATATCTTTCAACAAGCATATATTGGATATAATGTGATGCTAGTATACAAGGTAGTCTGTAGATGGACCGAAAGTAGCACTAAAGCAAAGGGTATGCCAACATATTGACATGCTTGAGTGAGAACAAGAGATTTCGCGCGGAGTTTTGATGTCAATCCTCGACGTCAGTGCAATCAACACAGAGACAGCAAACAAGTGGCTCAAGTTGCCACCACCACCACTAAAAGAACATGAGCAATCCACGCTGCGTAGGTAACTTGGCTCCTCACGTGGCGGTTCAATAGTCTCCCTGGCCACTTGCCGAAGGTTTCATCTATCACACGTTCTCGCCGCTCACGCTCCCTCTCCACGTCTTCATCCACCACGTCATCTTCGTTATACCCTCTTGCATACGAGTACCTGCAAGGGGATCGTAAGAGTGGGGTGTGTTCATTCACAGGACTGTGATGCGGTTCCGACGGCTTGATTTTGGGTCGTGTTTTCCGCCGACCAGTGGGTAATGATGGCTCCGAAGCATAGCTTTGTGATGCCAGAATACTCACTCGCTGCCCTAGTGGGCCCCATCCTTTCGAACTTGCGGCATTCGGAGAGCGCAACGGTGCAGAAATGGATGAACAAGGCGAACCCGATATTGACGATGCAGCAGACGGCAGTCCATCAGAAAGCCGTCTGTGTCCACGCACACCAGCAGTTATTCGTACACGAGAGTGAAAGTGGACGCGTGGGCTGGAACGGTCACTAGGACCCTGAAAGTCATCTCCGGACACTGTTAACTATGTTCAATGCATTGAGGCTAACTGAGCACCCCAGATTGCTTGTAATAGCGTGCAAGCTTACATAGGGTCGAGGTCCGTCGGCAGAGAAACGTCTTTGTTTAGAACGACGTAGGAAATCGATGGTACTCTCGTGATAGTCCTCGTCCTCGGAATCAAAGGTAATGCTATGACGGGAGCCTTCCCTTAGATCCATGGATTTGTCCTGCCTGTGATTCTGAGCGGGGATGATCATCGGTTCCTCTGAGAAACCGATGTCAGGTTGATGATCCGGAGTAAAGTGCGTAAGGTGAAACGAAGGCAGAATTTTTATATTCACATACCTTTCATTTCGCGGCTGTTTGAATTCCCCTGAGTATCACCATGAGTTCTGTCGCCGTTCTGCATTGCAGTCATCTCTGCTTTAAGCGCACTACTCGCTGCGGCGGGAGACATGCGGTTTTAATTTGAGATGGTCAGACTGTGTTGCATGGATGCTGTGTGTGGGGAAAGCACGAGTTGCAGTCTATTTAGTGAGGTAATGGAATATATCTTCTAGCTCACGTGGCGCCGCTTATAATCCACCAGGTTATGACCTGGACTCGGAGAGGGTCAATAAACCGCAAGTACTATAGGAGTCGAGGTTGAGCCTATCAGACAGGCAGCGAGAAGTGCCGAGAAAGATTAAAGAGTGTCCTATACAGCAATGATTTGTCTATATGATTGAGTGGTTGTGTGATTTAAATAACTATTGTCCTAATAAAATCTCCTCCATAGCCTGCCGAACCAGAGGAGCATCGTATTGCGGTACTCCGGGATCAAGAACGCGTTCGGAGGTTTTTCCGACCAAAATACACTTGACACCGAGTGTCTGTTGGTACAAATGATTAGTCTGATGGAGGCCAAGGGTGGAAACACGAGGGAGCGGCTCACCGTTATGGCTTCGACGTCTACTTCTACCTTTGTCCCCTTAAGATATACCAGATGTGTGATGAAGGCTGAGATCGGATACGTTGGAGCATTCCCTAGTCCGTTTGGCGGGTGCTGTGGATTCAACACCGAGGCGATAGCTCTGCGCTGTTTGAGATCAAGATCCCAGGGCAAAATAAGGAATCACCTGATATAGTCGACGGCGTTGTATCCATCTGTTTCTCTATCATTCTTGCCGTTCACTGTTGGAGATGAACGCACTCAGTCTAGGTGACCGGACAGTGCCGCATGACCCACATAGAAGCACTTTGACACGTAGGAGCCGAGATCCCGCGATCGCAGATGCTACGCCGCGGAGAGCCAGGCAGGGGATGATGCTGAGCATTCTCCATTAGGAAGATGTTTTGGGTGCCTACGATCGCGTACTTGCCTCGTCCACAAAGATCCACATGAGTACACCAACACCTCCGAAGTTGATAGGTTCTTGATAAATTGAGGGTTTGGTTTCGGGTACACTTCATGGCCATAGCCATTAATATAATAGAGTCCTGAAGCAAAATGGGCACCGCGAATCAAACCCCCGAAAAGGTTACCCACTGCATATTCGAGAATGGAGAGGCTCATATCCGTCTTCCTTGGCTTGTTGACTGTACATAATATTGAATCGATTCTGCGGTATGATCTCGCCTATTCCATCAATAGGGAGATAGTGGATCCAAAGACAGCAGCTCTGAGTCAGAGGAAGCTGCAGGCGTCACTGGATGCGATATTTCACATTGGCCCAGCAGCTTTGCGCCATTCTCCTACAAGTCACATCAAATGGAACAAATCACATCACCGATCTGAAGATCAGCACGAACCAATTCCGCTGCAATGGTAGTTATATGGTTCGTCACAATGACTGGCAGAATGTTTGCCTTGAAATCGTGTTTAGGGATGCGCTGCTCTTTCATTGATCTATCTTATGACCAACACACCTGGCTATTTGTTATGGTAGAAAATAAAAATATTGCGGATGGTAAGGACCGGAAGAAGCCCTGCGCGCCTGCCAGGAAGTAGTTACCTATGCTGTGGAACGTAGGTCCGAGTCAGTACCAACAGTCTGCCGAGCCTCGGGCAACTATGACCAACCTTCCATTCAAGAACGAGAAGTGTTTGTGTGCTCGCTTGAGGACCTCGTTCTCAAAGTAAACCAGGAAGCCTAATTAAAGCTGTCAATATGCCGGCGGTTGGCGTCCATTATCAGCATTACCTCGGATGACCTCCTTTCGATCGTTAGGGATGCCCGACCACAGAGGACTTTGACCTTCGATGATGCTCCGCCATTCAGCACGTGCTTCGCTTTCGGACACGTTCAAGGGCAATCTGTAGGACAAAAGGGTGCGCACAGCATCGAGAGGCGAACCGGGAGGAGCGAGAGGGATCAATCTGACAAGTCTTGAGCGAATGTCACCTTAATTTCTGTATCAGCACATCCCAAGCTGAGCACGAAGTGTCATCCACCTATAGATGGTCCACCGAGTACCCTGATTATCTCACTGGACGAACCGCCGTCGTCCGAGACCGGAAGAACGTAACATGCGTTTTCGAATGCAGCACATACGGAGTTTCCGCCTGAACCGCCGGATATCACTAAGAACGACGGTTTTGAGTGCCTTGCTTCTGGCACTTGGTTCTGGAAATGGACATGGCCATTGGTTATTAGTGTTGGATCGTGTCCATCCCACGTTCCTTGTATTGTCCTTGTGCTATTATCTGACTGCAACGGGAGGTCGAACACAGATGAGTCCGGGCTGTACATCCAGCAGTAAACGTTCAGCTGAGTTCACGTTGAGAACGGCCAGCGAGGGATGGTATACGATAATGAAGATCAGGTTCAAGAAACGCTGAGCCAGAACTTGAGCTTGAGTAGTTGATCTTGATGGTATACGACAACGTAAGGTCATCATTGGCGCTAATAGTATAACAATGACACAACTTGACCGGAACCAACATATCACATGCGGCACACCAACGTGTCACGTCTTGCTTGCAACACAGGCGACTGCTTTACTGGCCCAAACTTAAGCATTCAAGTACCCTTGACGTTGAGACATCAATGTTCTGAGGAACAGCACTTGTAAGAGAAACACTTGTCAGCAGTGCACAGCCAGTCGACAAGACACCGTGGCACCCGGCGCGTATCCACGCCATCTGCTAAGTACTCTACTAGTTACATAGCGCTACCATTTTCTTGCCTTTTAACGATATGGTCCGTAACTTCCCAGCCTTGCCAAGTTTTTACCGGACCCTCTTCTTGTACATTGAACCAGGTAAGTATTCGCTCTCATCGCTCACAGTTTTGTTCAAACGACAGAATGGTCATCGTGTAGTGTCGACCGTATCACCTGCTGTCTTGGCGTGGTTCTTTCCAGGCGCCTCCTGGTTCCACCATGAGTTGATACCAACTGCAACTGCTGCCTCCGGACCGCTAGATGCCAGGACCACTATGGCTATTTGGCAGCTGGGAAACTGTGCATCTTCATGTTTACTTTATCCATCTTGACAGGCTGATAGACCCGTAGGCTACCTTCTCCTGGGTTTAATTTCGTCTCTGGTCTTCAGAGCTATCCGAGATGCTCTTCCAAACAATCCGGAGGCTCAGGAGCGTATACTTGGAGCAAGCTTCACTGCGCTCGCGCTGGCAGACGTAGGCTCTCTCCACCATTCGTATCCATTCGTCTCACAAATTGTATCATAGGTAACACAGTAAGTCTTTAATACTCATGCAAGTGTTTGCCCCCACAACGTGTTTCAGCATCGCTGCCTCATTTATTGGCCTCCCAGACGAGCTCAAATACTCCTTTGGCAAGTGGAATCTCATGACCCATGGCAACATCACATTTGTGGTATTCCTCTTGAGCGTAAGGTATGTCGACGACAAACCCACCACCAGACTGTTCTCACAAACAACTCTATAAGACTTGCCTGGTTCGCGGGAATCGGTCGCACTACCTATTACTACAGGACACGGGCCAAGGTGGACTGAGCACTTGGATTACTTTCTATTCCAGTAGGACACTAGGCGGGTTGAAGTTTAACACAGATTGTATAAGTGCAGTCTACAAATACAATTCTGCTCTACATAGTCCAAGGTATAAAGTAAATATGAAGGCGTTCGAAGATGATGCAGTACAAATCTAAGTGGTGTCCATACGAATGTATGGAAGAAGGTCCGAAGTAATGCAGTACAAATCTATGTCTAAGAGTAGGATCCAAGTCCCAATACGTACTCATAAAACGCAGGGAATGAAGAAACTCAGTCTACAAATCGATCGATATGAATGAAAAGGGTCCAATCCCAGTCGTAATGCACCGTTCCTCTGCATGGTGAGCGTCGGTGTTAGTAGAAGGTCGAATGAGAGAGCAATAGCGTAATAGCCACGAAAGCAACAGTCGCAGATCTGTGAGGTTCCGACGGACAGTAGGCAAAGAAACGCCTCCGCCACGATGAGAAACCTCGACAAGCACAAGAGTTAGTCCATGATATTCCAACGGGCAGTAGTCACTGATGCCCCCGCCACGACAAGGAACTCAGAGACTGACCATGAGCTGCGGCCTTGCTCTCAGGTATTAACGCGTCGCAAACACGTAAGTAAGTATAGACTACAAGCGAGAAGTCAGTATGTGTACTTGTCGTCGCAATGCAGCAACTCACCTGCCCTTAGGCGATGCTGTTCACCACCCCAGAGCATGTGATGTAATTAGCCCACACGAGTAAGCGTGAGGCGCGAGATGAATGAGCTCCGGTGGCACGAGCTTGCGGCGTCCGCGTGGTTCGTGTTCGCGCGAGTATAGATTGTATGACTCAAGATGCTGCGAAAAATGAATGCGAAAGTCCGCGACAGATTCTAGGAGGCAGAAGCAGAGAGGAGATATTTTTACATGGGAGGATGAGCTTGCGACGGGTGAGGACCGTAGATGCCAATAGGGTAGGTCATCAGTTCTTGACGTACGAATACGCTCGACCGAACTCGTTCGGACACCAGGGAGGGGTTTAAGGGTTTGTCAGGTCACCAGAAAGCCCGAACAAAGGGCTTAAGGTACATGCAACGGGAGAACCATACTTTGGATCCTGATACTCGTAATCGCTATACTCCAGTACTAATCGATCAATTATCACCGTCTCCGACGTCCAGGAGTAACATAATAGCAGCGAGCGTATCTTCCACTTGCGATTCTATCTCCCGTTCGTAATCAGCGTCGACAAATTTTTCTGGTATCATTTGGCCTGTGACTGGTTCCAGGGAATCGGGCGACGACTCGGGCGATGGAGGCTGCGATATACAAACAGGAACGGGAAGCGTCGTCGGGCAGAAAGAATCTGTTGCCCACGAAATTGCATCCCGGATGAAAGCGTCGGCTTCTTCGTAATCTCCGGGACCCGGGCCATCCTCGCCAAGAACGATGCAGTGCGAAGTCGTCCATCCACCATCCTTACATCTGGTTCTGCCAGGGGCCGGCCACGGTGTCGATAAGAAATATGCGGTGTACGCGGACTCGATATTGTACATCTCGGCGGCCTGATCGTTTGTATGGACTTCCGGTACGTCGTCACCTTGGGCGTTATCTTGGCCGACAAGCGTTACGTCAGCTTCGAGGAGGGCATCATGAATGACCTTGATATTGTCAGGAATTGACTCTGATAGTGGACACATGGTTTTCGCAGGAGCAGCGACAGGTGATTTCGACCCTTCTATTACCAAGGTAAGGTCGGCACAGGACGTGTCGGAGTCAGCGTCTACCACAGGGAGCGCGCAGAGAGCAGAGAACACCGAATCGTTAGCGGTGAAGATGATTGTACCGGACGTCGAAGCACCATCTACGGCAAGGCACTCGTTGGCTGGAACGTTTGAGCAAGGCGGAGGGAATGGTTCAACCATGTACGATAGAGACTCAGGATTGTGCGCCAGACTCTATTCATAAGCATTAGCGACTCAAGTCGAACAACGGAGGCACCTCCACTTACCTCCAATATCAACTTGAATGAGAAAGAATTGTTAGCGAGTTGCCTATCAACAGAGACTCTTGGTGAAGGACGAGATCTAAGGGGCTCCTTGGGAGATACCTCCTCAAACGAAGGAACACCTGCACAGGAACTGGCATCTCGGGTGAACACAACGGGCCCATCATTGTTGCTTTCCCTGATCTCACCAAGAACAACCCGTGGCAATATCGTGATCTGGCTATCTAGTTCCTTGACTCCGCCAGGTGCATCGGACTGTTGCTCAGAAAACGAACTGCAATAACCTTCGCTTGCGAACTCGACGATAACCTCGTGGTTGGAAAATAACACGGGAGAGCCGACTGGCTGTTGGGAAGAGACTGCCTCAAAGGAAGGATTTGTCGCGCAGGAAATGACATCTCTGATGAATACAACTACCCTCCTTGTCGTTGCCTGTCTCGCCAAGGCCAACCCGCGGTGATATCGCACATCGATTGTCTGGGTTCTTGACACCAGGTGCGTCCGACCGTTGTTCTGAGCTCGAAAAGAACGTACTGCAATAATCTTCACATGCAAACTCAAAAATAGCGTCGTGCTCGGAAAATGACTCGCCAGTGAAAACGCAAGTATCAGTCGTCGTGTGGGCTTCGATGTTGTCAAAAAACGAAAGATCCAATCCGATTGGAAGTTGATACGGGTCCTGTTTATCGGCAGGAATAATGTCCGTCCATGAAGCAGAAGTCGCGGGGGGAACGGAAGGCTGAGCCGATATACCGTCTATCAACATAGACTGCGTGTCGGACATGACGAAAGCTTCGTGTCTGACGATAGAAAAATCAGGAGAAGTGTCGCTTCCGGAGGTCGTCATTCAATCGAGTAGCCGCAAACATTTCGGCATCCCGGTCAGCTAATGAAAGTACACACATCTGAATGTCAAGCGTGGGGACCGGGACCGCATTGAAGGAATCGCCCAGACCGACAATTACGCTAGGAGCCGAAGAGGTGGCGATATCGGCGCCACCGGCGCGAATTGAAGGTTCGTCATCAGTCGCCATTGCAGGAAATTCAATGAACCGTGGTTGTTTGCTTGTGCTCTCTTGATATATGACAGTCCTGGGGATGATACGTTCCTGTTCCTGTATCTCGCAGATATGCGCGGACGCCCGTTTGAGCATGGCAACCATTTGGGAGCATGCGGGGAGAGTCGAGTCGCTAGGTAGAATGCGCTTAGGAACGGGGCCAGGCACATCTATTGGTGACCTTGAGGTCCGTTCACTGCCACTCCGCACAACACCTGGATTGACATGTTTCCGACGTCGATGTGTTGGTAGTGGGATGGCGCGGGGGTATTGACGTGGTTCCCGACGTTGACGTCGTGAGATCCGAATTTTCTTGGATGGGGAAGGGTTCCAACTCTCGACGCTGACCTTCCTACATCCAACATGAGAACGTTCTCGTTTAGCGCCACGGGAGGGTGTCTCATCGTAATCGTCATACAACTCTCCGTGAAGCAGGCGGCGAACATACTCGGCGTGAATGATGGGGTCCGAACCGATATTCATATGAGCCAGACCGCCTGGATTGAAGTTCGACTGACGCGTAGTCGCAAAACGTTGTGCCTTCATCCACGCATCCTAGCGGTAAAAATTTCAGACTGAGTCACCAGGAAAATTTATAAGGACCTACCCATGGCAAACGCAGATAGCCGGCGTGGATAGTTACCGACTCTTTCCTATCCACTTTACATCTTCTGGCTAGTGGAGGGGCTTCGCTAGCTCCAGCTATTCCTCGACGTCGTTTCAAGGAGTTTGGGGAACAGATCGGAGAGTCCTCGGAAGGAGCCTCCCCATGGGCGAGTTGGCGGGAGGTTAAAATGCTAGTAAAAACGGTGTTGGTTGCCCGGCGGGCATTGTGCTCGTCTTTCCCCCTTCGTCTGGTCCGAATGTCGCGAAGGTCCTGCAGGTGACGGATTCTTCCCAATAGGACGTTGTGAGGGCAAGCGTGAGGGGTTTTCTGGCGTACAATGAGGGCGTGGCTTCTGCAGCCATGTTTCATGGCCATGTCTGCGGGCTACTTGAGCTCGAAAGTCAATGATAAAGTCGCAAATCGCAATTCTGTGTGTAAAAGGCAAGTACGGAGAAGGCGGTGGCGAGGTAAAAAGTGCTGGAGGAGGCTGAAGGGATAGCGACAGGAGTCACAGGACCTACTTATACCCAGAAACCTCCGCCGAATGCCAAACTTTAAATCGTTACGGCACAAGGACGCGTCCGGTCACGTGCCCTTGATTTTGACCTTCGACAAAGTTACACACATATTCGCTGCGCTTGACAATGGACATGCAGTAGCAAAAACACATGTACTGCCGCGAACGAAGGAATGTCTTCCTCCTGTCTTGTAGTACGGTGCATTCATGAACATTGCACCCTACAGCGTGCTAGAGGTGACCAAAGATGAAACTGGCATCTGACTAGATCTGACTTGTCTATCGGAGAGGGCGTAAGTATACTGTGTTAAGCCAGCTGGGGTGACCGGACCACTCCCAGCTGAAAGACAGTGAGCGCAAAGCTAAATCCCTCGGTGGCCGAAACGCACCTGTAAGTGATGGAGAATAAGGAGCCTCGTCAGGGAGCGTCGGTGCAAGTTTTTTGAAGGCGTGGGACACAAAACTACCCAACTCTCTTCATTTACTTTCATAGGCATATTAGATCTAGACGGGACCATGTCCAAGGACATAATACCCCAAGAAGAGCCCACAAGGCCAAAGAAGGACAAGAAGCGAAAAAAGGCGAAAAAGCCTGACGATCCTGCCAGCGAGGAGCCCAGAGGTCTGCACGTAGTTCATCACAATCCCATCGTTCCTGACCGATCAAGACAAGCCAGCTGAAAAGAAGGACAAAAAAGACAAGAAGAAGAAACACAAGGAGCTTCATGATCCCGAGGTTATTGCTGCTGCTGTTTCCGAGGATGCGGAGATGGACGTAGATCCTCCAGAAGGTATGTGTCCCCAGTTAAACAATGATCTATATAATTATCACTCGTCACAGGACGCGTCAAGGATGAGAAGAAGTCAGTTTCTAACACTGAGGAGACTGCCATCGAGATAGCTGTTGCTACACCATCTGGTAAGCATACTTGTTTCGTCCGCTCGAATCTACGAAGTAAATATGATCCAGTGTCCAAGGACAAGAAAAAGAAAAAGAAGCACAAAGAAGCCAAAGGCTCAGGTGACACTGACCCAAGTCCTGGTGAGATCAATCAAGATCAGTGCACACTCGGTCGTTCGATCGTTCTTACATATACAACACTAGATGGCGAAAAAGCTTCGAAAACGCACAAAAAACGCAAGCGTGATACCGCGCAAGAAATAGACTCAACAGACAAACCTAGCCCCTCCAAGAAGCACAAAAAGAAAAAGCATGACCGCGATTCGGAATCCACTCCTGCCGACACTGCAGCAACTTCCCAACAACCCACGTTAGCTACCCCATCCTCGCAGCCCTCAACAAAACCATGTTCTTCTACCGAAGCAGAAGCCTTTCTCAGAAAGCACAACATCACCATCAGCACCCAGACGCACGGCGACGCCGTTGTACCCGTAATATCGTTCGACCAGTTAAATATACCGGATGGCCTACGGGGCGCCTTCACTGGATTTAAAGAGCCTACTCCAATACAAGCGTGTACATGGCCGCCTGCGCTTAAAGGGAATGACGTAGTGGGTATTGCGGAGACAGGAAGGTAGGTTTTGCGGTCTTGCATGCTATTGCACCTAAAGCTCACGTCTGGATGCAGTGGGAAGACTCTGGCATTTGGCATACCTGCCCTCGCACGGCTCATCTCTTTACCCGAAAAGCCGAAGAAGAAAGAAAGTACAGTATCTGTACTCGTCGTCGCCCCGACGCGTGAGCTTGCGATCCAGACTCACGATGCACTCTCTGCACTGGGCGCACCGTTTGGCATTGCTAGTGTCGCAGTGTTTGGTGGCGTCCCGAAGGACGCGCAAGTCAAAGCACTGGCAAATGGGAACATAGATGGGAAGATCACGAGAATTGTTGTTGGGACACCGGGGCGCATAATCGACTTAGTTCATGATGGCGTATGTGACTTGAGCAGGTGAGATTGTTCTTGATCAGAGGGACGTTGACATCTTAGACATTGCTTGGTAATTGTACAGGGTGAATTATCTCGTGCTAGACGAGGCTGATCGAATGCTGGATAAAGGATTTGAAAATGATATCACGAAAATTATTTCATATACTATTCAAGGGGAAGGGCGCCAGACCATGATGTGTGAGCACTTTTTCTGTTCACTTTCGCGTGCCCGACTTAATTTCCGTCTCAGTTAGTGCAACATGGCCCGAAGCTGTTCGTCGATTGGCGAGTTCTTTCCAGCACAACCCTGTTCGAGTCACTGTTGGAAGCGATGATCTTACGGCAAACAGTCGCGTTGAGCAAGTCGTCGAAGTCTTTGATGATCCCCGCGAAAAAGAGTTCGTATCACTAAGTCCTTGCATTATTCTTGTCTCACGGTTTGGTAGCAATCGGCTTCTCAAGTGCCTCAAAGCCCTGTCACATAAGAAAACGTCACGCAAAGGCTCCGATGAGGCCCGCGTCCTGATCTTTGCCCTCTACAAGAAAGAGGCAACACGTATTGAACAGTCACTAAGGCGTGCAGGCTACGACGTCGGTGCATTACACGGGGACATGTCGCAAACTGCACGCATGGATGCTCTTGAAAAGTTCAAGACCGGGGAAACGGGTTTACTGGTGGCCACGGATGTTGCTGCACGGGGGCTGGATATTCCCAATGTTGGTGCTGTCATAAATTACACCTTTCCGCTGACACTTGAAGATTACATCCACCGAATTGGGCGTACGGGTGCGTGTCATTCTAATTATTTCTGTTGCAGAGTCTGAGAAGCCTGATCCATTTAGGTCGAGGCGGACGCTCCGGTAAATCCATTACCTTCTTCACGGGAGAAAACCACGAGCGAGCGTTAGCAGGAGAGCTTGCACGTGTGCTGCGCGAAGGCGGGTTCGATACTCAGGCAGACAATCTGAAACAGTTCCCGATGACGATCAAGAAGAAGGGACATGCTGCATATGGGGCTTTCTTCCGCGATGATATCACTGCCGCGCCCACGAAGATAGTGTTTGAGTAGTGCTGGCAAGGATGACCGGACACTTGTGCTGGCGGGGACGCATGGAAATAACGGTCTAGTTTTTATATAAGACATGGCGAACTGTATTGCGTGTCATCTCGTACATGCAACTATGATGGCGCCTAGGCGGTCATTTTATTTGTCGAGTTTTCGTGGTAGATAAGCAGTATGCGGCACTTTTGCCAAACTTGACAGCTTTCAGCAGGTGGAGACCGGGACCACTCCACTAACGACTTCCACTTCTGCATCAACACGCGTTTTTCAACTGTTAGCGATATTATCGCTTTTGTGGTTAGGCTAGGCTATAATTTCCGAGGCAGCCAAATCAACCAAAGCAGGGACACAGCAAGCCCCATAGGCCGCAATATTATCGCTGTAAAATCATTCTCAGCCAGCGTCTAATCTTTCGTGAAATCGACCATGATGGGCCTTTTCAGCCAGGCTGGATCCCATATCAAGAGGGCACGCGGTCTCTCCGTGGACGATAGGGCGCCAGAAGACACCGAACCTGACGATACTTCAATCCTGTCTGTCATTCTTCCTCTACTCACTCCTACATAGACCAATGATCGTCGTCGATGCTGATGCTGCTTATAGGGACTGAGAATGAGGGATCTGTTATTCTTTCGCTGATATCCCAGCTCAGGTACGTGTTCTGTGCTGTGTGCAAGGCTTCGTTCTGACACCCGGACAAGGGTTGGAATGGACCTGTCCAAAGTAACCTTTCCTACGTTCGTGCTTGAGCCTCGGAGCATGCTCGAGCGTATCACAGACTTCATGTCGCACCCAGATCTCATATTCGGGCGAGTACACCCTTCCCTCTCCCAATCTCAGGCATAACCCTCTGCCCAGTGCTGAGATGTGCGACGATCCAGAAGAGCGATTTAATCGCATCCTCCAGTACTACCTCGCTGGTTGGCATATTAAGCCCAAGGGCGTAAAGAAACCGTAAGTCTTCACCCATCTTGCGTCATCAGCCCGTGGTTAGCGAGTGCAGGTACAACCCCGTTCTGGGAGAGTTCTTCCGTTGTAGATACGATTACCCAAATGGTACACAAGGGTTCTATGTTGCCGAGCAAGGTGCGTCGCCTGTGCAGCACATTGACGCGTGCTGGCGCTCATCAGTCTACCCTCCAGTATCACACCACCCACCTATCTCCGCCTTCTTCTACATCTCCCCTGCAAACCGCGTTTGCATCGTGGGCGAGCTCAGACCGAAGTCTAAATTCCTTGGCAATAGTGTTTCCACCACCATGGAGGGTGAAAACAGAATAATGCTCATGGGTGTGCCAGACGATGGCGGTGCGTATATTACACATGCGCATGCGCAGACATGCCGTTATTGACTAGGCATGGCAGACTACGTAGTAACGATGCCTAATATGTACGCAAGGGGAATCCTATTCGGCAAGATGGTATTGGAGCTAGGTGACACGTGTGTAGTGAAGAACGAGAAGAATCGACTCTTCTGTGATTTGGAGTTCAAGACGAAGGTTACTGCGTGGCTTCCTGGGTGATCATTGTCTAACACTGTCTCAGGGCTTCTTCTCTGGAACATACAACGCAATAGCTGGACGTGTACGTCGAGGAAACTCTGACACAGGCGAAGTGTCAGGGCGGTGGAGTCACGTCATGGACTTCAAGAGCATCAAGGTTCGTCGAAGAACCGGCTTCTCAGTGGCAGCTTCCTGATCTAATTTCAGAATGGAAGCAAACGCGTGCTATTCGATGCCGCAAAGGACGGACAAAGTATTGCACCAAAATACGTGCCAGACATAGAACAGCAAGAACCGTACGAATCGCGCCGGTAACTGTTTTTAGATTTACTAGTTGGATCGGCGACTGATCATGGTGCCCGGATGCACAGCCTATGGAAAAACCTCACGCAGGCTATCGAGGAGAAGAATATGGAGCGTGCTACGGAGGCCAAGAGTGCGGTGGAAGACGCCCAACGCGAGCTGCGCCGCAAACGGGAGGAGAGCGGCGAGAAGTTTGTCCCTCGCTACTTCGAGAGACGTGACGGACGGTGGGAGCCTAAACTCAAGTGATGCCATCTTTCGTGCCTCTGTGACCTCTCCTGATACCTTCCACAGGATCCCTCGAGATGATTCTTCTGAAGCTATAGATGCAGTACAAACCTGGATATGGCCGCCCATGGCAGGATAGCGTTCACTGACAGCCAGAGATATACACGTTTCCATTTTGACGCTCATCTGCTCTTCCTTTACTTGTGTCTTCACCCACCATCACATTCACATCTTATCCCACGCAGTTGTAACTTAATGCGCATCCGTTGAATTGTACCTGTAGCAAAAATTGAAGGGTATATATACGACGATGGATCCAATGAGAGTACCAATGTAAAATGAATGGATATAGAAAGAGATGCGACCAAAACAGAGGCCGGAAAGAATGCAAGGACATCGATTAGATCAGGATATCATGATGAGACTGAAACGAGCAAATGCAGATATATCACGAGTACCAGCCGTCTTTGTCCACTGAGACTGTGCTCATGATACTCATGGTACTTGGCGTCGGGGACGCGACTGACTGCGGGGCGTATTGAGAAGCGTACGAGACTACAGATTGAGGTCGATATGATCCGATGGGTCGTCTGGGCTGAGGAGTGGCAGGGATTCCAGAGCCAAGATGAGCATATTTCCGTGGTGCGTGCATCGAATCCCGAACGGATGGAGATGATTGGGGAGGAGTATCGCTACGAAGTATATGAGAGCCATTCATCTGTGCAACTGGTGTTCTTGATCTGTCCCCAGAAAACACGGTACTTGAGCGCGAATCCGGACGAGGGGGAGACTCTGTATGCTCGCTGGAAAATTTGGTGTATGAGGACGCGATAGGTGGGGCTGGGGTTGCCTTGGCCTTGGCCTTGGAAAGGTCTGTCTGAAGCCGAGCAACTTGGGCCTCAAGGCTCGCAACTTGGTCGCGTAACTTTTGGTCGCGATCCTGCGATTAGGCAACAGTCAGAACGCGCCACGCGAGAGTATCGTGGTTCCTACCTTAACCAAGCGGTCCTCTGCTTCCTTTTCTTCCAGTTGAAGTTTTGCCAAAGAATAATCCGCATCAAGCTGAGCATGAGTTTGCTCCTCCTGATCGAGCCTGGTACGTGTCATCTCCAAGTCACCCTCATACTCTTTCGCCCGTTTCTCCCACTCAGAGGCACGTTGTTGGGCTTGAGTCAAGTTCTGTCTGGCAGCATTTGCGGTGCGTTCAGCGTTGGAAAATTTGTGTTCCTGTTCCCTGAAACGCTTTTGAAGCGCTGCGTGCTCGTGTTCGAGATTACGACTCTGTTCACGAGCCCGTCGGAGTTCCTTGAGTTCTTCATTATCAGCCTGACTCATAAGGGTAGTGAGCATGTCAATTTGCTCAGCCGCGCGGTGGAGGTCATCCCAGTGACCCTGCTGTGAAAGCAGGTGCTCATGCTCTTTCTGGAGGAGATCAAGAGAATGCACAGCTAAGTCCTTCTCATGCGTTATGAGCTTCACTGATGCGTCCAATTCCCCGACCTGAACGGCTATCAGATGATGAACGATGTCATCAAGGGGAGGGACGTACCTTAGAATTGAGGTTGACTTGCTCGGCCAATGCCTCCTTGTTCAACTTCTCTAGCTCGCTAATGCGTTCCTGATTGGTTTGTGTTGCAACATCCGAAACTTTGAGGCGTGCAAGGCTCTGAGAAAGCGCTTCCTCTAGTTCACAGTTCCGCGACTCTACAGCAGCAACATCTATGCTCTGGGTTCCGATAGTACCCTGGAGTTCTTCGACCTGAGCACGGAGCCTATCTCTCTCAGACTCGACATCCTTGAGGCGTTCAGCAAGGTTGTCCTTCTCCACCCGAACTTGACCGTGGGCTCCGCGGGCCTTCGCCACTTGTATCTGGTGTTCAGTGTTTGCTGCCTTCAGTTTGCGAATCTCTTCCTGGTCTCTCTTTGAAGCGTCCCTAGAGACTGCGAACTCAGCATGAGCGGTTTGAAGAACGCTGACGGCTACATGTAATGCCTCAGGGAGTGCATTCATGCGTTCAGAAAGATCCTCGCGGAGGGACTTGTGCGCCGAGAGAAGCTCCTCGTTTTGGGTGGAGGAGGATAGATGAGTACTAGCAAGGGAGTTGATAGCAACCTCCAATTGGTGGATAGCCGATAGAACTTGTTCATCACTCTGCAACGACGCTTGAACTTGCAGCTCTTGACTATTCAACTGCATAGCGCACTTGAGATTATCGAGCTGAGCAGGGAAGCTGGCGACAACAGCGTGGAGATCGGCGTGTTTCGAAACAATTTCGTCGCTCTTTCTGGCCACGAGCTGCTGAGCCTCACCCAGCGCATCCAGCTTGGGAACCACATCGTTGAGCGAGTGGAGTAGACCTAGAGACACTCTCTGCGACTTTGCCTGAAACGACCTCGACGTTGAACGCCTTGTCACGAACAGCAAGACGCGAGTCCAGACGCTCTACCACTAGATCAGCTACTTGCTCCTTGATTTCATGCGCGTCGATGGGGGCGATGACACGGCGAATTTCTGAAGTAATTTGGGCAATCACCGCGTTGGTATCCAGCGACACTTTGGGCAGCAGAGGAATGATGCTATCCACGATCAGCCCGGCAGTCTCCCGTTTGTCAGCTGCGAGATCAATCAACTGTTCGATGTTTGGCTTGACAGCTTGGCTAAGTTGAGCGGTGAGAAGATTGTAGTCGACAGGATCAGGTCGCAGAGCCGTAAAGGTAGGTGTCAGAGCAGTCATGATATCGGTAACCAAGGAAAGTCGGTCACACTCGTCTCCGAAAGGACGAGAGTGTTGGTCGATTTGTGACGACAGCTGGCTGATGGTGTTAAGGATGATCTGCATGTTCCTCTTGTTCATTTGTTCCAGAGCGGGGGCAAGATCCGTGGTTGATCCCGTAGGTTGAACTTTCTCGAGGCGACTCACGAGCTCGCGCAACTCGGTCTGGATCATGAGCAGACCCTGTGCATGACCTTGCTGCATCATGTCGCGAATGAGCTCAAGGTCCAGTTCACCACGGGCATCCATCTGACTGTCGTCGAGGCCACGGGCAGCAGACTCCTGGAGCTGGGTACGGAACAAACCAACAACCTCCGTGATCATGTCTTCTGTGGCAGGGCTTATGGACGATCCACCTGCCGACGGTCTGGCCTTGGCGATCTCAGCGCGGAGTGCTTGGAATTTTTCGGCTAATGATGCTTCAATCTTGTCCTCTAAAGCTTGCGTCTCGAGACGCTTAGTGAGGTTGAGGGCAGGGATAGAGAAATTTGAAAGCTCTGAGTTGTGAGCGCTATGCAACGCAGGCAACGACGAGCGACGCTTAATAGCGGGCGTGAAGATGTCAGGAGACTGGAACGGTTGTCGTTGAAGTCCGGGATCAGTGACAAGCCGCGACTGTGAACGCTGCTGCAACATCGAGATGGCGGGCGCTGCGATGTCATCGAGGGACGGCCGTTGCGAGTGCTCGAAAATCTCGCGGGAACTCAGCCGGGAGCGCACAGTACGGCGAGTTTTCTCATCACCCACCAGAGCTTTAAAAACGCCAGCAGGTAATGTGTTGCTGGGGGTAGGAATCTTGAAATCTAACGGGATAGGCGCGCGTTTCGGCCTGGTAGGCGCAATTGACGGGAATGTGCTTGCAATGCCAATGAAGTCTTCATCGTTCTGGGGTGAGCCAAACTCGTCGCCGGCCATCTGTCTGTGTCCAGGTATTTCAATTTCCTGCGTTGCATCTTCATCAGGCAAGGCGAGCGTGGAGAACCCAGAAAACGTGAGAGGTTGCAGAGGCCCAGCACTTGTATTGAAATCCCTTGATCCCAACGCCCATGGCGACGTAGGGGCAGAACGACGAAGGCTGCGCGGAGTCTCGCCCAATGCAGGGAATCTAAACGAGGCCATGTTCTCCTTGCCGCTGTCGTCGTCGTCGTCGTCGTCGTCGTCATCATCAATGGATGAGCGGGACCCGCGGCGCTGCCTTTTCTCTCGTCCTTGTTGAGCACGTGCGGGTGATGGTTTGACGGGTGGGACTGGCAATGGTCGCGAAGGCTCGGATGAGGGGAAGGACATGCGAGGCACCCCAGGCGGTGGACGGAAGGTGAACCCTGTTGGCTTGAACTCTTGTGCAGCCGCATTGAGTGGCTTTCCGAGGGATGGAAGGCGTGCATGGCCAAAGGAGGGAACCTGCGTCGGTGCGGCCTCGAGGGACCATGAACCAGACTGCCGGGCTGCACCAAACACGAAAGGCTTCGCGTGCGGATTCAGCGCTCCAGACGAAGATGACTGGGGGAAGTGGGCTGGCCCTTCAATGTTGACGTGAACCTGTTCTGAGGTATTGCGCGAGTGGGCGAGGGCGGGGTCATGCACCGAATATTGTCCCGATGCACCACGAGAGTGGGGGAGAGGAGGTAGAGGTCGCCTTCCAGTTGTAGACGCCGACAACGGCCTAACAGGGAAATCTGCCAGATCCACGCCGAGGAATGGATTATGCAGTTCTCCTTGGTGATCCTCCTCGCTTGGATTCGAGACAATGTCATAGTCACCGCGTAAAGACACGCCGAGGCCACCACCCGGGGGAACGGGAAAATTGGGTAGACGTCTTGGTTTCTCAGCTTCCTGTTTCATTTGACGTAGCATACGGCGTTGCACCCGACTTTGACGAGCACGCTCTTCGTCTGAGGGGTTAGACCACTCGCCAATGCTCTCCTTCAAGTTTGTCAGGACTGGTGCGTGAACAACGCAGAATTATGATACATACTTCGTCATCTGATTGTTCCCTATCTGGATGCATGTCCTCCGATCCGGTCCACTCTCCAACCGCCTCTTCGTCGAGGTCATCAATGCGTGGGTTGCCAGCCGGACTCCGGATGGGTACCATATTAACCTCTGACATGGCGCCCTCAGTGACCCCACCGACCGATCGCAATGATAATGCAGCCGACAGCCGTGACACATGCCTTGAATGCAACCTGCTCAGTGCAACTGTCGTCGCATCTCTCCCTACATCTAGATCGTCAAGTCCTTCGACTTCAATTGCGGCATTGTCATCCATGCCAACGGGTACTTCATCCTCCTGAGGCTCTTCCTCCTCTGGGATGTCGATGCCAAACCCACGTGTGAAATCAGGACGACTGCTTCCACGAGAGATGCCGGGAGGAATAAGAGACGGGACAGAAACAGGGACACGGCCTTGTGGAGCATGAATACCTTCGATAGGAGCATGGATTGGCTGGATAGGGATGTCTGTTTCAATGCTGTCGGAGCCGAGGACTGCGCTTGGGCCAAAAGGATTGAACGCTGCGGTTGGAATGTAGAAATGTTCGTGGAGTGGAGGAGGGTGTGCAAGGGACAGGCTGTGACCATGCCTATTTTGGAATCGAGGAGCAAATTGATGCGGAGACGGAGACAAATTGAATGGTGGTTGAGGCGAATTTGACAGAGAATTTAATGAGGATGCGGTCTGAGACTGCTGCAATTTATTCAACTTGAAGTGCAGTAGAGACGGATCAGCAGGAGACGAAATCTTAGACACGTGGAAACACTTCGTGAGGAAAGTTGGTATGCGAGATGAAAAAAGACACTTACTGATGCTGCACGGGCATGAGGGGCGTGAATTGGAAGGGCACCTCCTGACCCTCTCTCTACGCCCAACCTCTCAAGCTTCTCTTCGATGACTCGCTGCTTTATATCATCCCAAGCAACCTGTGGAAGCGTCAAATACTGTGTGGAAGAGGCTGAGAAGCTCCCGCACCTTTCCAGGAAGAAATACATCCACTGTATCAGGGATATCTCGCCGCCATGAATCCGGTGGATAGAGCTCAGCTGAATCTACTTCAGGCGCGATAACTTCAGGCTCTTCCAGATTGACTGCAGCTACCGGAGTTCGTGCCCACGGTGGACGCGTTGACGGTTCTTCAGCGTCACCCGGGATTGTTTCCACCGGTATATTTACAACTACCTTCTTGCCCTTTGGGACTGGAGTGGGTGCAGCCTGCGGAGGAGGCAAGGGGCTATGCTTGCGTCCTGGTCCTCCAAGAGGTGCTTTGGGTGGACCACCTATGCTAACGCTTGGAGCTCTTCTATTCCGAGGAATGAAAGGTTGACCAAACTGCGGCACCATGTGAGGCGGAAAAGCAGAACCCAAAGGAGTCATGGGAATGGCGTTCGGTGGTGGGTAACCAGGAAAATGAGCCATGCTTGCGTGACCTCTGTGCTGCGCGTAGGATGGACGAGCGGGAGCAGGAGGCGGTTGATGAGGAAAAAAAGATTGCATAGGTGTTTGAAGCGGAGGACCATTCATAAGATAAGGTGGAGGATGAAAACTATGTTGGAGAGCGGTAGGAAGAGCAGGTGAAAACATGGGTTGCCTGCCATCAAAAGGCTGCTGCATTGTGAGCATTGGGGGTATGCTCAGCCTAGGCGGCGGTTGACGCGAATGCGAATCCATTACGCAGAAATTTATGTTGTCCTGTGAACAAATCGGCGCTGAATGTCAGTGTAGACTGAGTTATGCACCGTCTATGATTCCGAATCTTCCTCTGGGTATCTAAAAACCAAGAGCATGCGCAGGAGACGCGCACCTACTACCGTCGACGCTGGAACCTGGGAGGACAAGAACAATCGAAACGAAACACCAGAAAATCGCGTCCATTATTCAAGCCACGTGCTTTTGCCCCGGATTTACGCACAGCCGCACATAGAATTCGAAATCGTCTTGTAGGAAATACAGAACAGTCATACATGAATGTAAAACAGATGAGGAATAATGTAAAAGAAAAAAAAGTACGTCGATGGTACACTCAATCATCCTCGAACATAGACACGTCTTCCGTCTCTGAAACAGAATCCGACTCTATTTCAATATATTTCTTGCTCTTAGCTCGTGCTGTCCGCTTCGGCGGTGGAGGGGGTACATCCGAGTCGCTCTTGATGCTGATATCGTCATCACTCTCCTTCTTGGCTACAGCTTTCTTCGCAGGAGCCGGCTTACTACTCGAGGGTTTTCGGGCGGCAGGCTTTTTGGGCTCTGAGGGGCCAGATGGTTTCTTGTCAAAGAAGTCAGTCACCGGGGCCTGGTTGATCTTCATCTTCTTCGCCGCAGGCTTGATATAGTCTTCATCGCTGTCCTTCTCTGCCTTGGGACTAGATAAACGGTTGTCAGCTAATTTCTTTTGCCTGAAAAACAAGTTACCTCTTCCGTTTGGAAGGTTCCTCCTTAGCTTTGGCTTTGCTCTTGCCCTTTGCTTGTGCGGCTGGGGCCATCTCAAAATCTGAATCAGAGTCTGACTTCAAGGCTTTCCCCTTCTTCCGCCCAGGACCAGGTAGCGACTTGCGAGTTTCGAGCGTTGCTTGCTTCTTCTTGATCTTCTTGCCGTTAGCGTCCAGTAAGGACTTGTTTTCAAACTCTTGACATGATTTCTGATATGGGACGCTCAATGTCGTGAATTCGGCAACAACAAGGTGAACTTACTTCCCACTCCTTCAGGAATGTATCCAGGTCCTCATTCCAGAGATCTGTGGGATTGCGCTCGAGAAGAGCAAGAAGTTCAGCATCCTTGTCTGCCGCTTGTTGCAGGAGTTTGTCAATCTAGAGAATATTCAGAATCAAAACGCTTTTTGTTAGAACTGATATACATACCTTCTCCTTCGTCAAGCTCCAGATGGCCATACCAAGCAAGTAGTCGTAGTCAGTCGATCCAACTTCTTTTTCTACTTCTTCCTCCTCCTCATCTTCGCCTTGAGGCTGGATAACATCTTCCGTCTCACCAGCAGCCTTCGCCTTCGTCACTTTGGGGAATGGTCGGAACTTGAGCCTGCGCAGCTCAGCCATAAGATCGTTCTTCTTGCGGTTCGACACGACGAGCTCTTTATCCACAATCATCTTCACGAACCGTGCCTGGTTCGAGAGCCGTTCAAATTGCGTTTGCAGCTCATTCGCAAGGAAGTCCTGCGTAGCAAATATATATATAAGCACTTCAACCCTTGAATTCTCGTGAATCATTTGCCTTTCGCTTCTGATAGTATGCAAGCCGTTGCGGATAGAACTCCTCGATGACCTCTTCAGGGGACGCGTACTTCTGGATCTTGCCCTCGAAATTGAAGGCCATCATGTTGCTCGTATTGATCTTGGACGTCAGCTTGAAGAACTCCGTGAGACCCTGTTCCTCGGCCTTCTCGAGGTCCTTCGCAGCCATGCTAATCACAAAGTGGATGTTCACGTTATCGTGGTGTTCCTTGTAGTCCTATTGACCCATATATGAATAAATGATCAAGACGACGCCTGAATGTATGTTCACCTTAATCACGCCGTCACCCTTTTCACCAATCATGGCCTCGAGCTCAGCCTTGTAGTTTTGAGTCCACTTGTGAATCGGAAGTTCCGTGACCTCGACGGTGGTGTCATTGACCTTGCGAACGATACCAGTGACATCGTACTTGTGGTCACCGACTTTCTTGATTGTGCCTTTGAAGCCACGCCACCAAGGTAACATTGTGACCATCTCCTTGCCTGCCATCAAACGGCGCAAATTATCCACGATGTCAACAGGGTTGTAGCAGGGGATTGTTGTGCTCCAACCTGATAGAATCGTTAATCTTGCGGAATACACTGTGCTAGTCCGCTTACCAGTTCCAATGCCCTCGGCACCGTTCACGAGGACGAGCGGGATAACAGGCATGTAGTACTCGGGTTCAATCCAGTCATTATCTTCCTTCAAGTACGTCAAGAGGGGAGCATCCGCGGGGTTGAAGATGGCGCGGCTCAATGATGACAGCTCGGTAAAGATATAACGAGCCGAGGCATGGTCTTTACCGCCCTGGTCACGCGTACCGTACTGACCGTTGGGCAAGAGCAAGTTCAAGTTATTGCTCCCGACGTAGTCCTGGGCCAAGTTCACGATGGTCATAGTCAAACTGGCTTCACCGTGATGGTATGCGGCGACCTCGGAGATGTAACCTACGAGTTGGGCAACCTGCACAAACAGTTAAAGTTGGCTATGTGGGTGGAACGGTGTACACGCCTTGACTTCCTTCTTCAGCTTACGCTTGAAGCAACCCCAGATGACCTTACGTTGGCCAGGCTTGAGACCATCTGCTACCGAGGGTATAGAACGAACGTTATCTGCCATAGAGAAGAGAATCAACTCTCTGTTGATGAAATCTGAGTAGGGAATCTCGTCGATGTTGTGGTCAAGATACGTCCCGGGCTAGAAGATACGGATGAGAATGTGATAATTTATTCTCTCTGGTGTCATTCACCTTGAACTGGCGAAGCCATTCCTTTCGATCATCGGCTTTCTTCTTGCTGAAAGCAAGGTCAATCAGCTCCCTATCGCCTTCTTGTGTTGTTGCAAAAGGGATCATGTGCTTGGCCATGTTGCTGAAGTAGTACCGGGCATCGGAATCCTTGCTTGTTCCAAGACCCTGAATCGTATGTGTAAGAAAGGTGGCAGTCGCTAGAGAAGTAGAACAGACCTTGTAGTACTTTGAGTCCCACTTATGAGCGTCGGGAGTATCCTCCAGCCACTGCTCATACTCTGGAATAGTGAAGAAATCAATCTGTTGTTTCCCTTTCGTCACCTTCTCGCGTATGAGCAGAAGATATATTCCAAAATCAACGATTGCATACCCTCACGATAGGTGTCACAAACTCAACCAAGAAGTTCGGTAACTTCAACAACGATGGGTAGAAATGATCCAGGAAATTGATGAGCAGACCCTTGATATGAGATCCATCATGATCCTGCGCGCAAAGTGTTAGCTTTCTCATCCATATCGACAATTCGAGAAAATGATTGACCTGATCAGTCATGATCATCAAGCGTCCATACCGCAGACTGCTGACATTGCCGTACTCCTTGTTGTGCTGGAGGCCCATAATCTTCTTGATGTTCTGAATTTCCTCGTTCTTCATGATCTGGTCGTGCTTTGCTTCCCGAACGTTGAGCAATTTTCCACGCAGCGGGAAGACACCGAAATTGTCGCGGCCAACAACACCCAGCCCAGCTACAGCCAAGGCTTTCGCAGAGTCACCCTCGGTTAAGATCAGTGTACATCTTTCGGCGTGTTTTGTGCCTGCGTTGTTTGCGTCGGCGAGTTTGGTCATTCCAGCCAACCTGCATAACATGGTCAGCTCAAGATTCATTGTATAAAGATCACCTCGCACCTGTTGCGCTTGCTTCCATCGGTTTTCTTGATCTGCTGGTCAGCCTTGAACTTTGCCCAGTTGAGAACGTGATCGATAATTGACGATTTTTGGACTGGACAACAATAAGAGTTCAAAATGTGCAACTACACGAGATACGCACCTTTCTTCATGAACTCTTCCGACAACGCGGGCTTCGTGCCAAACTTAGAGGCGGTCAAGGTCAGCGTTTCCTTAGTCTGACTGTCGAATGTCGGGTTCTCGATGAGAGCATTGACAAAGATCCACATGTGGTTCTTGACCTGTGCAGGCTTCACTGTCGCGCCCTTATTCTTCTTGCCAATGGCAGCGATGAGGTTCTTAGCAATCTGGTCGGCCATGTGATTGACATGCGTGCCGCCCTTCGTGGTTGCGATGGAGTTGGCGAACGAAACCTGCTGGAATGAACCATCCGATACGGCAAACGCTACCTCCCACCGCGGGCCAATCTGCTCGTATATCATGGTTGGCTTCACCTGCGCCGCCCCTCCTGATGTCTCCGAAGCCCCTGCCGCAGCAGAGTTGAGATACATCTCAACGTACTGCTTGAAGTTCTTGATCTTCAAACGCTCGTCGTTGAGAAAAACTTTCACATCCTTAACTGTACCGGCGAGATCGTACACGCGCCGTTTCAGCAAAGACAAGGTGTCGTCGTCGATGGTCTGCATGCCAAACCGCTTCAAGTCTGGCTTAAAGGTGACCTTCGTGTACTCCTCGCCCTTTCCGTTCTTTGTGATCTTTGCAGCGCCGACCTTGCTCATATTGTTCGACCACGTTTGTTTATACTTCTGGCTTGTATTTTTGTCTGCAGTGTCGACGGTGAATTCATGGGAGTAGATGTTGGCAAGTTTGGCACCGTAACCATTACGGCCACCGGTGAGCTTCTTCTCGTCGTCGTCGTAATTGGAAGAGGAGAGCAAGTGACCGAAGATCAGCTCGGGGATGTACATTTTCTCTCGTGAGTGCATCTCTATGGGAATGCCCCGACCATTGTTGTAGACAGAAATGATGCCCATTTCGACGTCAATGTTCACTTTAATGGTATCCATGCTGGCGTCGTTTATCTATGTCAGGTAATTAGCAATCTGAGTAAGATACTGAGGTCGTATAGCACACCTTGTTATCCGCAGCGTTGACAAGAATCTCGTCTACAATCTTGAAGAAGCCCGGGACATATTTGACCTCTCTATGAACCATGCGCTTGTTCTCCGAGTCATACGTCCACATTGGCACTGTGATTGTCTCAACGCTTCCTATGTATGAATCAGGACGTTTCAGAATATGCTCGAGTTGAGACAACTGCGAAGTTTGGATTGTAAGTAACGGATCGCTAATATTACTGCATGCATACTTTGGTGTAAGTTTCTGACGCTGTCTTGTTCTTCTTCGGCGGGGCTGCTTCCTTTGGTTTTGATGGTCCTGCACTCTCGTCACCCGAATCAATTG